TCCTTGATGGAGTTCACAGATGCCTCCTCACCTGCTTGGTGAAGAGTAAAACCTGTGTGGTGTCACTGAATTGCTGTTCACTTGAGTTCAGCCCATTGATTTGCCTCTTTCCTGCATGTCACTTCCTTGGCTACAGGCAGATTTCAAATTTCTAAAGTCTAATTCCTGTTGTAAGATTCCTCCACTGTCACCCTGATAGTCTGTAATAAACCACTTTACATTGTGTGTAGAATTTAGAGCTGCTCATGAATCACATCTTCCCTCTGTGCTAGGCATGACCAAAGTAAAAGTTGGGAAAGAAGATTCCTCCTCTGCAGAGTTCCTAGAAAAACGTCGGGCTGCTCTAGAGAGGTATGACCCCATCAGCTGTTCCTGAACTGAGTAAGGGACCTCAGAGAGATCTGGCAGGTCTGTTCTTCGTGGTGGCATCACCAAATTCCCCAGGGAGATAGGGGAGCTGGTGGGTGAATTAGAACAGTTGTTGGCTCCGATTTCCAGCCCCCCAGGTGCTGTTCTGGAGTAAATACCAATGTGTGTTGCTGTGATGGCTCAGAGCTGGATTTGCTACAGCCAGAGTAACTCCTGGAGTCGTTCCTCCCACAGGTACCTACGGAGAGTGGTCAGCCATCCAACCATGCTGCAGGACCCGGACGTCAGGGAGTTCTTGGAGAAGGAGGAGGTCAGTGGGGTGGAGTTAAGGTGTCCTTGGAAGTGCTGAAGGAAATGGTTTTTGAGCAGTTAATGAGGCAGGATCCTGCAAAGCTCAGCGGGAAGTGGCAGAACCTGTGAGACTGGGAGCTGGTGTTGGCACCAGGTGCCCACCAAAGCTGCTGAGCCATCCCCTCAGCTGGACATGAGGGAGAAAACAAGCAAAAGGCTTGTGGGTTGAGGTAAGGGCAGGGAGAGATCACTCAGCAGTTACCTCATGGGCAAAACAGGATTATGGAATGGCTTGGGCTGGAAGGGACTTTAAAAAGCCCATCTCTTTCCACCCCCTGCCATGGCAGCAACGCCTGCTGCTATCCCAGGTTGCTCCAAGCTTCATCCACTGGCCTTGGACACTTCCAAGGAGGGGGGAGCCACTGCTCCTTGGGAAACCTGTGCCAGAGCCTCATCACCCTCACAACTAAGAATTTCTTCCCAATATCCCATCTGTCCCTGTCCTCTGGCAGTGGAAACTCATTTCCTCTTGTCCTGTCACTCCAGGCCTTGTTCAGAGTCCCTTTTCCAGCTCTCCTGGAGCCCCTTTAGACACTCAGTGGGGCTCTGAGCTCTACCTGGAGCCTTCTCCTCTCCAGGTGAACACTCCCAGCTCTCCCAGCCTGGCTCCATCTCCTACAGCAAAGCAAACTGTTCCATTCCTTTCCAGCTCCCAAGAGCAGTAGGAACCCAGACCCTGAGTGGAGCAGGAATAATGAAGATGTTTAACAAAGCCACGGATGCTGTCAGTAAAATGACCATCAAGATGAACGAGTCGGACATCGTAAGTGTCGGGGCACCTCTGGGCCGTCCCTGTCCTCGCTCCAGAACTCCAGAGAGCTCTTCCCAGCCCCACCTGTGGGAATCAGCTCTGCATTTACCCCTTGCAGTGGTTCGAGGAGAAGCTGCAGGAGGTGGAGTGCGAGGACCAGCGGCTGCGGAAGCTGCACGCTGTGGTGGAGACGCTGGTGAACCACCGCAAAGGTGATCGGGACAGCGCCGTGTGCTCCGGCCTTTGGGAGGAGACAGCCCCCTGGGCCCTGCCTGGAGGGGGTCACCTGTGTCCTAGGGACACTTCCAGGGAGCTGGGACAGTGCTAGAAAGGATTCTCTGTCCCTTCCTTCTGGGAGACAGATGTACAATGGTCGCTCCAGTTCTTCTGTCCAGCTCCACAAGCTTGGGATGGTAGAGTGGAAGGGAACCTGTGTCCTGTGGGATCACAGAATGCCAGGATGGCTTGGGGGCTAAAGGGACCTTAAAGTCCATCTTGTTCCACCCCTTCCTGCCATGGGCAGTGATGCCTTCCACTATCCCAGGTTGCTCCAAGCCCTGTCCAGCCTTGGACACTTCCAGGGATGGGGCAGCCACAGTTTGAGGCCCTTGCACAGGTTGCTCAGACAGTTCCCTCACAGGGAAGAATTCCTTCCCAATATCCCATCTATCCCTGACCTCTGTCAGTGGGAAGCCATTTCCCCTTGTCCTGTCCCTCCAGGTCCTTGTCCCAAGTCCCTCTCCAGCTCTCCTGGGGCCCTGTTAGGCACTGCCAGGAGCTCTGAGGTCTCCCTGGAGCCTTCTCTTCTGCAGGCTGATCAACCCTAATTCCCTCAGCCTATGAGCCAGAAGGCTGCTGTAGCAAACCTGAGCAGAGCTGACCTCTGGGAGTGGGGATGTTTTCCTTCCTCTGCGTGTTTTGACTGACTTCTGCAAAGCTGTGCCTGTCCTTCTCTCAGCTGCTTCCCTTTTCCTCATGGCTGGAAGCTGCTAGCTCTGACTGAGCCAGTGCTGGCTCTTCCAGCTGGTATCTCCTGGAGCTATGGAAAGGCAGCTCCAAGGGCTGAACCCTCTGCTGGGGAGCTCCTGGTGCAGCCAGGCCCATCTCCTGACCCTCCTCCCGTTCCCCAGAGCTGGCACTGAACACGGCCCAGTTTGCCAAGAGTCTGGCCATGCTGGGGAGCTCAGAGGACAACACGGCCCTGTCCCGGGCGTTGTCCCAGCTGGCTGAGGTGGAGGAGAAGATTGAGCAGCTGCACCATGAACAGGCTAACAATGACTTCTTCCTCCTGGCCGAGCTCCTGGGGGACTACATCCGCCTGCTCTCGGTTGTAAGGGTAAGGACTCCTTTGCTCCTGCTCCTCGTACCCATCGTAGGCTTAGGGGTGCCTGAAGGCCTTCCAAACTCGAGCACAGGACAGAGCAGAGGCCATGCAGGGCATGGCCCCTTCAGCAGAGGGAAGACTTGCTGATTGTCCAGGTGTGCTCTGGTTAGGTTGGAGAATGGTTGTAGGTGAGGCTTGGCCATGCTGCTGTCCTCCAGAGGGGATGTGGAGCAAGTTTGTGGCTTGTTGGTGACCCCAGCCCTTCCAGAGTGAAGGCTGAAGCTGTGAACTGTTAACCTGTGAAACAGGGAGTGAAAACTGACCTGCCAAGTGCCTGCTGTGGCAGAGCCTGAGTGCTGAGTGCTCCTGAACTTGAGCATCAAGTCCACACAGCCCATCCAGTGCACTGGGAAAAAGCAATCCCATGGGAGTAGCAAGTCCAGCAGGCTGACCCCTTCCTGCCCCAAAGGCCAGACCACCATATCCTTGCTCCACTGGTCCATACAGGAGCTGTGGATGCTCCAGAGCAGGACCCAGTCTGTGTTCTGGCTCAGCTTTGGTCCAGGACCTCCAGTGTCCCCTTGTCAGGAGATCTCTGCCCCTCCTTCCCTCCAGGGAGCCTTTGACCAGCGCATGAAGACCTGGCAGCGGTGGCAGGATGCCCAGACCATGCTCCAGAAGAAGAGGGAGATGGAGGCCAGGCTGCTGTGGGCAAACAAACCTGACAAGCTGCAGCAGGCCAAGGATGAGATCTCAGAGGTAGGGAACGGAGCGTGGGGTCCCTGCTCTGTCCCTGCCCTCATGCTCCAGTGGGAAAGGATCCTTCTGGGCTGGGGGGCACCTCCTGAGCGGAAGGGACGGGTGTCTATGGCCAAGTTGCCTTGAGTGAGGCTGCAGGAGGGGCTGCTCGTGGTCCTGCCTCCTGCGCCTTCCATGCCACGGTGGTGACAAGGGCTGGGGGGGCCGAGTTCTGCTCCAGCAGCACCTCCCACACATACAGTCCCATGGAGAGGGGGGCAGGAGTTCCTTCTCCTTCCCCAGCTGCACTTCCTGTCTCTGCAGTGGGAGTCCCGGGTGACACAGTACGAAAGGGACTTTGAGCGGATTTCTGCCGTCATCCGCAAGGAAGTGATACGGTTTGAGGTACGTTGAGGGCAGCCCTTGGCACTGACCTGAGCTCCTGCCCCTCCTCCTGCCGCAGCAGCATCCCTAAATCCTGATGTGTGTGAGCTGGGGTGTTGCTGAGGGCTTTTGGTTGAGGGGACTTCCCCACAGGGAATCTTAAAATGAAGCTGGGTGGGCAGAGATCCTCTGTGTCCTGTATGCTGGGCTCCTTGGGGGACCCCAGGAGGAACAGGAAAATCCTGGTGGTTTCTCCTTCCCCCTCCCAAAATCTAGAGGGTTTTGGTGTGTGGTCCAGTTTCAAGGCCATCTCTTACAGAAAGAGAAATCAAAGGACTTCAGAAACCACGTCACGAAATACCTCGAGACGTTATTGAACTCTCAGCAACAGGTGAGTGGTCCCTGATGTGGTTTTATGTCCCAGGTCAGGCCACGCTTGTGACTCTCTCAAGCATGACCTCCTGCACTGCAGCTCCATCCTCACGGCTGCTGACCCTCTCCCTCTCCTCCCTGCAGCTGGTGAAGTACTGGGAAGCGTTCCTGCCTGAAGCCAAGGCCATTTCTTAATTGGACTGAGCAAACAAACCTGAATTTTGCCTTTTTTTTTTTTTTTTTTATATATACACTATACCTCCTCCTCTTTTCCACGTGAGCGACCCCTCGTTCCACACGCTGGAGCTGGTAGAGGTGGCACCCCCAGAAGAACAGCTTGCGAGCCAGTAACTCTTCTAACTGTATATTTTTCATTTAGCAACATATATTTTCTTACTGAAGAGAAACTAGTTTCCTGCTTCCAGATCAGACCTGCAGCCACAGGGGGGTTAATAAGATCTGGCAGATATCTATTTTTCAGGCTGGGTTTTAAGGCTCTAATGAATTATCTTACTCCTGCAGTGCCATTAAAGTTCTGTAATAAAACTTCTATCAGGGCAAACAGGCTCTGGGTGTTCAGGGTGGGAGTGGGGAGGGGTAACGCTGGATCCCGTGGCAGTGGAGGGAAGCAGCAGAGCCTCCCCCGTGTTGTGACGGACAGAGGTGACCTTGGACGCTGCTCTGGCCACCTGTCCTCGCTCCTGATTAGGCTTTGGCTCTCTGCCTTTCCTCCAGTGGAAGCCGTTTTTAGGATCTGAGCTCAGCGAGCCTCTGTCACGATGTCACTTTGTGGCATTCCCCAGAAATCCATGGTGGAGCTCTCAGGGCTGTGCTGCTCCTTACCGGGGGTAGCTCTGCCCTTTCCCCCGTTCCCAGCCTCGCGTGTGCGTTTTATCAAAACCGATACCCGTTAAAGACGAGAAAAGGCAGCTTGGGCTGACTTCCCTCTTTCCTTTCCCCTTATCCTTATAAACCGGGTCCCTGCGGCGCCTCCGCTGCTCCCTCCGGCTGTGACCTCGCCATGGGCGCCCGGGGCGGTCCCGCCCCAGCCCCGGCACCGCTCCCGGTGCCGTTCCCGCTCCGGGCCGGTCCCGCCGAGCCCCGGGCCATGATCGCCGTGTCCATCCCCGCGGCGGAGCCCCCGCGCAGCCCCGGCCGGCCGCACACGGTGAGGGACGGGCTCGGAGCACCCAAGGGTGGGCGAGGGTGGCTCCGTCTGCCCCGGGAGCTGCAGGGCGCCGGGTGTCCCCGCGTGTCCCCCGCGCCGCCCGGCACTGCCGCTCCTGCCTTTCCCCGGGGGTCCCACGTTCTCGTGGGGCGGTCACCCTCGGGGGGATTCGGCTCCCTCCGCCCCAGGAGTCTCCCACTGCCCTGGAGTGGAGGTCGCTGCCTTCGCAGGGGTGTCTCTGCCTCTGCTCCGGGGGTGTCTCTGTCTCTGCTCCGGGGGTGTCTCTGCCTCTGCTCCGGGGGTGTCTCTGCTCCGGGGGTGTCTCTGATTCTCTCTGCTCCGGGGGTGTCTCTGACTCCGCTCCGGGGGTGTCTCTGTCTCTGCTCTGGGGGTGTCTCTGTCTCTGCTCCGGGGGTGTCTCTGCCTCTGCTCCGGGGGTGTCTCTGCTCCGGGGGTGTCTCTGATTCTCTCTGCTCCGGGGGTGTCTCTGACTCCGCTCCGGGGGTGTCTCTGTCTCTGCTCTGGGGGTGTCTCTGTCTCCGCTCCGGGGGTGTCTCTGACTCCGCTCCGGGAGTGACTCTGACTCTGCTCCGGGGGTGTCTCTGCTCCGGGGGTGTCTCTGCTCCGGGGGTGTCTCTGCTCCGGGGGTGTCTCTGCCTCTGCTCCGGGGGTGTCTCTCTCTCTGCTCCGGGGGTGTCTCTGACTCTCTCTGCTCCGGGGGTGTCTCTGTCTCTGCTCCGGGGGTGCGGACCCTGCCTGCCGCTGTCCCCGCTGCCTGCGGGGGCTGGTTTCTGCCTCTCCCCAGGGGTCTCTCCCTGCCCTGCGGTGATTCCACCCTAACCCAGGGACGGGAGGGCTCTCGTGTCCCACCTCCCCCGTGTCCTGTTTGTCCCCGAGCACTGCCCTCTGTCCCCGGGGTGGGGGTGTCCCCAAACACCCCTGGGAGAGCCCCGACAGACACAGCGGGGTCCCTGAGCGGGACTTGCAGGCGGGATCCGCGCAGGGGTCGCTGCCGATGGGGACCCATTGCCCTTGAAGGAGGGGATGGGGATGTGGGCAAGGTGAGATTATTTTGGCCTGGGGGAGGGCTACGGGGCTGGAGAGCCACGGGGCAGGAGGCCTGTGCGTGTCCCTGGAGGGTCCCAGCCGCGGGGAGCACAGACCCTTTACCTTTGAAAGGGGGAGAGGTCCCTGTGTCCCCCATGGCTGGGGGTTCCCTTCCTTCCTCGGGATGCCCCACCTGCTCTGGGACTGGAGGTCCCCTCGTTCCCCCAGGTGACCCTGAAGTGTCCCAGCCTCAAGGGTTGGAGGTCCTCAAGTATTCTTGGGTGGTCCCTGCCTGCCCCAGGGGTCCCTCCTGGGGGCACCTTCTGCCCTGGAAGTCGGGAGTGTCTCTGTCCTGCAGCTTCCCTCTCATCCTGGGGGTGCAGGGTCCTGCCTTGTCCCCGGGGGTTCCCACATCCCAGGGGTGCCTCCACTTGCCCCGGGGGTTGGAGGCTCTTCCTGTCCCTCCCCGGGGTTCTGTTCTGGGGTTCTTGTTGCTCCCATGGGATCCCCACCTCCCCGGGAGGGTATCTCCATGTGTGTCAGGGACTGAGGGGATTGAGGAACCCAACTTGGCCCAGGGGTAGCCCAGGGGCCACCCTCTGGGGGTGTTCCTCTACCCTGGGAATCCCCTCTGACCCCAGAGGATTACGGGGTCCCTGTCTATCCCTGGGTACCCCCATCCTCCCCGGGGATGTGTGTCCCACATCTGCCCTGGGGGTGGGATGTCCCCAAGTTTCCCTCTCCCTGCTGTCCCCAAATGCCCAGGAGTGGCTGTCCCTGCCTACATCCAGAGGATCCCTGCTGGGGGAAGAGGGAGGGACAGACAGTGATCCTCTACCCCTGGAAGGGGTGGGGAAGGGGCATCACTGTTGGGGGTGTCTTCTCTGTTCCGTGGGGTCCTTGTCATATCCCTGTGCACCCAGGATGGGGCTGTGTCCTTCCCCCAGGAGTGCAGCATCCAAGTGCCTTGAGGGGTCCCTGTGAGAACACTTCACACCTGGAATGGCAAGGATGGCCCCTGGCCAGGGTGTTGGGTCCCTGTCTGTCTCTGGGTGCCCCCTCTGCTTGCCCTGGATGGTGGAGGGTGTGGGGGTCTTAATGTGCCCACCAGGGTGTCCCCACATGCTCCAGGTGCTTGGGGGGTTCCCAGCAGCCCTTACTTCCCCCCAGGATCCCAACTGTCCAGGCGAGTGAGGAGGCAGGGGGAGAGGGGCAGATGGGCCCATCTGCCCAGAGGAGGAGAGGTCCCCAACTGTCCTCATGGATTCCTTTCTGGGAGGGGGACACAAAGCCCTTGACAGGGAGGGGATGGGGGTCCCTGGCCCAGGGGATGCTGGGCAGAGGTCCCCACAGGGTTCCTTTCTGACGTGGGTCTGAGGTGGATCCTCTGCCCTTCTACGTTGGCCTGGGGGGTTCCTCTGTGGCACTGTGGGATGGGGATGCCTGTCTGTCTGCAGGGACCCCCCCTTGAGAGCAGGGGCTGTCCCTGGCCTGGGGAGTGCAGTGGGGGGACCCCTGGCTGTGTGGGGAAAGAAGGGGTTCTCTGCCTTCCCCAGGAGGGTGGAGATCCATGACTATCCCTGGGCAGAGGGCCTTACCTGCCTTGGGGAAAGACGGGTCGTCTCCCTCTGTCCCATCGGTTTGAGGTCCTCATGTGCCCCTTCCTGGTGTCCCTGCACACCCCAAGGGGTTGGGGGTCCCTGGCAGCCCCAGGGTCCAACTGCCTGGTGGGGTTTGGTGGGGGTTGGGATGTCACAGCTTCCTGTGTTCCCCTCGGGAGGGGAGAATTGTGTCCCATCTGCTTTTGGGGGTCCTGCCTGGTCCCATGGTGCCCCCATTGGCCATGGGGGTGTTGGGGGTCTGCCCTGGAGGCTGGAGGTCTCTGCCTGTCCTAGAGATGTGGAGGTGAAGGGTCCCAAGTGCTCTCCACAGGTGTGAGTTAGCGGCCCCTACCTCCCCTGGGAGGCTGATGAGGGTGGTGAGGATGATGAGGATGGTGAGGGTGCTGAAGATGATGAGGATGATGAGGGATGGTGAGGCTGATGAGGAGGACTGGCTGTCTGTCCCCCTCGCAGGTGTTCCGGGTGGAGGTGCTGTGCAATGGCCGGCGGCACACGGTGACCAAGCGCTACAGCGAGTTCCAGGCACTGCACAAGCAGGTGAGAGCCCCCAGCTCTGCAGGGAGGGGACATGGCGGGCCTGGCTTCATCCCCCTGGCCTGCCCTGACCCCCCCACACTCTTCCTCAGATCAAGAAGACCTGCAAAGTCCCCAACTTCCCCACACGCCACGTCTCCAGCTGGATGCCCAAAGGGCTGGAGCAGCGCCGGCAGGGCCTGGAGGTTTATCTGCAGGTGAGGAGTGTATGGCACATTCAGGGTGAGTTTTTAGGGCTGAGGAACACGTGGTGGTGGGTTTGGGAGGGGTTTTTTGGGGTGCTGAACCCCCTGGAGCATTGCAGGGTGTGCTGGATGACAATGAGGAGCTGCCCCAGGAAATCCTGGACTTCCTGAAGGTGCGGTGGTGCCAGCAGAACCCCAAGGTCAGCAGCCCCTTGTGAGTAGATGAGTTCTGCTGGCACCAGGGTTACCCCACACGGCACTGGGATTGCCCCCCTGCCCTGTGGAGGCACCCTGAGTACACAGGGGTGGGGATGGTGGGGACAGGCTGAGGACTGATGTCCCCTTTTCCACAGCAGCACCACACTCCTGCCCTCCCAGCGCCCCATTGTCGGATTCTGCTGGGATCCCTACGTGCGGCCTCACAGCACTGGTAAGGAGCAGAGCTGTGGAGCAGATCTCCAAAACCTCCAAGAGGCTCTTCTGGGCCCTATGAAGGTGCTTCTTCTTTAACGGGGCCCAGGAGGGAACAGCTATTACAGCACAATTTCCTCACAGAGCTGCTCCCCAACACCGTCCTCAGCGGGGTCCTGCAGGGCCTCTACCTCCCCCTGAGCTGCTCCCTGGCCAGGCAGCACCCCGAGCCTCTGGAATGATGAGTTCACCCAGCACCCAGGGATGCAGTGGTGATAGAAAAGGATCCTTGACTCCTCCCTGCCGGGCTGGGGCAGGGAAACGGTGGGAGAAGCCAAAGGGATGTTGGGAACTGCTCTCTCACCACCATGCAAAGTGCCTTTGCTGGCAGAGCAGGAGCTCTGCCTTCCCCCCTGCTGTTCTGGGCTTGCAGTATGAGCCTTTGGATGCTGAATGGTGCTGGAAACCTCTCTGCATCCAGGCTTTTGTGCAATAAATCTCCTGGATTTGACTGACTGGCAAAGTGCTGTGCTGTGGAATTCTGCAAAGCAAACCCAGGGCCAGCTGTGGCACTGCTCCCAGCTGGATGAGATGTGGAAGAAGCAAGGTTGGAAGTGGGGCTGGAAGGTTGAGGGGTGCATCTGGGTGAGGGATGCAGAGTGATCTGCACCGCTGCGAAGGCAGAAGAGAGGCAGCTCTTTAAAAAACACATTGGTCACATTTATTGGTGCATGTGCTCCTTACAAAAGTGATGGAAGAGCAGCCTGTGCCCTGTCCCACCGGCTGGGAGGCAGCAGGGAGAGGGGCCGGGCGCTGGGACGCTGCAGGAGCCGGTGGCCCCAGGGCAGGGGAAGCACAGCAGCCCCATCCCACAGCCCCTCACAGCCTGGCAGGGCCTGGTCCCGTCACTCTTTGGCGATGGCGAACGGCTTCTCCACCTCGATGGTCCCACAGTCAACGATGGTGACATCCTTGAGGGGCTTGTCCCGGCTGTCTGTCTTCGTGCTCTCCACCTTCCGCACCACGTCCTGGTGGAGCAGAGTGGGAGAGTGGGACACGTGGGCAGAGCCAGCTCGGCCAAGCCCTGCCAAGCCCTGCCCAGTCCCGCTGTCCCCGGAGCACCGACCCTTCCCTCTGCCATCCCTCACCATTCCCTCCAGCACTTTGCCGAACACCACGTGCTTCCCGTCCAGCCACGGCGTCTTCACGGTGGTGATGAAGAACTGGGAGCCGTTGGTGTCCTTGCCAGCGTTGGCCATGCTCACCCAGCCTGGCCCGTAATGCTTCAGCTTGAAGTTCTCGTCAGGGAAACGGTCCCCGTAGATGCTTTTTCCTAGAAGTGGGGACAAAAAGGCCACAGTGGTTTCATGGAATATGGGGTAGGGGTGATGGTGGTGGCAGCTCGAGCACGAGCTGGGTGGGGGAATGAGCAATTCCAGAGCAGGGACTAGCACTGATGCCACAGGGATACATGAGACACGGGCTGCTGCAGGGAGCTGGAAGCACCCCAGGGGCTGGGCAGGGGTGTCACACCAAGGGACCGGAGCAGGAGGCTCCCAGCACCCAGCACTCAGCTCTGCTTTGCTCCAAGGCCATTCTTTGTGAGCTCCATGCCCACTTGATTCCAGCAAGCTCCAGCTCTACACTGGCCCAGGCACAGCCCCGCAGTGGTGGAAGTGCGGCTGCTGTCTCACTCCCAGACAGCGCCTTGGATCTGCCAAGTTACCTCCAGTGCCGTCGCCGCGGGTGAAATCTCCTCCCTGGATCATGAAGTCCTTGATCACACGGTGGAACTTGCTGCCCTTGAAGCCAAATCCTTTCTGGGGGTGTGGAGGGAGAAGATGGAGTGAGGCGAAGGGACAGAGCAGAGCTCCGTGGCCCCAGCGCTGCCCCAGGGCACCAAGCAGGACCCGAGCAGGGGCAGCTGAGCCCAGGACGCCACGGGCCCCTCACCTCTCCGGTGGCCAAGGCCATGAAATTCTCCACCGTCTTGGGCACTGTCTTGCCGAAGAGCCCGATGACCACACGGCCGGCATCCTCCTCACCGATCCGCAGGTCGAAGAACACCTTGGGGGAGGGCGGAGGAAGGTTGGGGGATCAGGGGAGCCAAACTCACCTTGCTGGGCCAACCCACCCCCAAAAGTTCAAGGCACCAAAACCTCACCGGGTGCGGGTGGTCGGTGCCCACACCCCTGGCTGCATCCCCCGGCAGCCTCACCCCTCAGCCCGGCTTTACCCCGGGCTGGGCCGAGCTGTGTCCAGGCCGCCTCCCCCTTCAGGCGCCCCCTTCTCCCGCACTGGCCCCTCCCTGCCTCCCTTGTCCCACCCGACCCGTCCCGGACCGCTCCAGCCCATCCAGGGCCCCCCGCCCCACGCGGGCTCAGCCCCCCGGAGCCTTTCCCAATCCCGCCGCCGGCCCCGCCTCGGCCCCCCCCGACCTTGGCGGTGACCTTGGGTCCCTTCTTGCGCTCGTCGGCGCGGGAGGCCGCGGGCAGCAGGAGCAGGAGGGCCGCGCCCAGCGCCGCCGCCGCCACCAGCACCTTCATCCTGCGCCGCTCGCAGCCCGGCCACAGCGCCCGCCGCGCCGCCGGCATCCGGCCCCGCCCGCCGCGCACCCCCACCCGCGCCGCGCCTTGGTACCGCCCGCGCCGCGCGCCCGCCCGCTCCGCCCGCCCGGGCGCGACCAAGAGGGTCTCACGGGGGGGGAAGGCAGCACCTTCCGGCCGGGCGGGATGCGGGCGTATGCCACGTTGCCCCTCGCAGGGCGGCCTCAGCACCGTCAATCATGAGAGGACGCCGCGATGATTGGCCGCTGAGGGGGAGGAGGCGGGACGGAGGCGGGACCGAGGGTGGCGGTGGCCAATGGGCACGGCCGGGGGGCGGGAGCTGAGGCAGCCGGGGGTGCTGTTCCGGCGGCCCGCTTTGTCCCGCTTTGTCCCGCTGTATCCCGCTGTATCCTGCTTTGTCCCGCTGTGTCCGGCTTTGTCCCGCTGTATCCCGCTTTGTCCCGCTGTATCCGGCTTTGTCCCGCCGTGTCCCGCTTTGTCCCGTGTCCTGCTGTGTCCTCAGGGCCCGGTGTGTCCCCGGCAGCAGCAGCCGAGCCCCCGGCGGGCCCAGTGGCTGCGGGTCGGTGTCGGAGCAGACACGTTGAAGAGGTGCCACCCGAGAGCCCAAACACCTTTGAGAGCAGCTGGCACTGTACCCACTCAGAGACACCCGAACCAGAATGTTCCACGCTGCTCCACACTGTGATCTCTCGTGTGATATTTTTCCCCCTCTAATTCCCAGCCTTGAATGTACCATTTTTAGCATAAGCTTTCATTTCCCCCTCCCAAAATTTTTTCTGTGGAGGCATGCACTCTGACAAGGAGATGAACCTTCCCTGACCCTTGGAACCCACATCTCCACCTTTGAGATTTATCTTTTTGGGGATTGACACTGACCCAGACCTGATGAAAACCTAATTCCCACATGTTCAACTAAATCCAGTATTTGCAATCACAGACCGGTTTGGGTTCAAAGTCAAACCCCTGCCATGGGCAGTGACACCTTCAGTGATGGTGCTAAGCATCTGCAACACCGCAGAAAATCCTGTGTGCTTCCAGCCTGGCCTCTCCAGGTATTTAAGAGGAATTCGGCCTTCTCTCACTCCTTCCTTCAGTTTTTATCCCACAGCCCTGCCAAGGGGGCAGGTCCCAGTACCCCTCTCCCTGTGGTCCCTTCTGCCTCAGGACACGGCAACCTGCATTTCAAGATGTCTGAAGTGCTGTGCCCAGGGAGAAGGGAAATCAGTACCACCATGCCTTGGCTGAGCTCCATCGGCCTGAACCACCCACAGCTCTAAAGCACAAAGTGCTGAGAAGGTCCCACAAAGTCCCACCCATGCATTGTCCCCTCCAAGGAGAGCAGAGGATGACACAAGTGCCCAGTAGAGCCAAAGGAAGACAAAACACAAGTGCCATAGTCAGGCTGAGGTAATAAATACTTCTATTCATGGAGAACAATGCAGCAGTGCAATGTTTTATTGAAAAAAAAAAAAAAATCTCACTTGATACCTCAGAAGACTGCATCGCAACGTTGGAGGGCCGGGAGCCTGTCAGAGGCACCTGCGCCAGGAGCCCCCAGGAGCCCTCCCCTTGCCTGGGGTCTCCCGGCTGCCAACTGCTCCCAGCAAGGAGAGGAGGGATTGCCCAGGTTAATGCCCTACATCCTACCACAGCATGGCTGGCTCAGTCTGGCCGTGTCTCCTTGTCACCTCCGAGCTCCCTGGGGACAGCGGTTCCCTCAAGCACAGGACTTGCCGATAACCTGCTTTATTTTCTTTTTTTTTTTTTTTACTTTTTTTTTTGTTAAAAAGCCACCCCACATCTTTGCCCTTTTTTTGAAGAGTCCAACGTACGATTATAGTGCAAGAGGGCTTGGTACAAGTGAGCATTACCAGCATGCCGTGGGGGGACAGTCCTCCCCTACAAACACATCATTGTAGGATTAAAAGAACACCGTATCTCCGGAGAGAAGCTGTAGTGGGTCACCATGAAACAGCTTTCAAACCGACCCACTTAAAAACAAGGTCAGGAAAGTTTCTAAACGATCAAATACATTCACTTAAAAAAAACCAAAAAACCCCCAAATAAACAACGAAACAAAAGAAACCAAAAACATTTAGGAACAAAACCTGTTGAGATGGCCCCTTTCCCCCCCGCCCTCCCTCACCCTGCAAACACTTACATATGCTGCAACTACAAGCTGCTCCTTGAGCGGAGGCAGCGAGGAATGACCAAACACGGCAGGAGATGCAGAAGGAATCGAGTTCTGGTGACAGGCACTTAGTGGGGCTTGGGAGGGCAGCAACGGAAGTGTCTCAGGGCCAGCTCTGTTGGCAGCGGGCAGGGCGGCTCCCCGGGGAGCACCTGTGCCCCTGGACACCCTCCCAAGATGCCAAACCATGGTTTCCTACAGCAGAGAGAGGAATGCCTGTGCCACAGACGCAGCTTCTGGGAACCACTGGCAGCGGAGGAGTTTGGGAAGAGAAAGGTGGAATGTGCCCACGGCTGTGTCCGCCCTGCGGCAGGAGGGGACAGGGCCGCACCCGTGGCACCCTGCGGGAGGTGAGTGGTGCCCTTCCTGCCCTGCTCCTGCCCTGGCTCATGGCCTGCCCGGAGGAAAGCGCTTTGCTAAGGGGGAAGGAAGGAGGTGCATGTGTGAACTGAGGGCTCTGTGCCTCCATCGCGCTCACCGGGATAAGGCATGGAGAGAATGCAGCAGAGAATGGAGAAGAGACGCCCTGCGGGGATCCTGGCCAGGACGGAGACTTTTCCACCCTGGCACTGACTCAGGAATGCATGAGGAGCAAGCCCAGAGCTTGCTGCCCAGGCTGATCTCCTGCCCTAAGCCTGCTCCTACCCAGCCAGGGAAAGGGAACCTCCTGGCAATGTTGCTCTGTGAACTCCAAACTACATAGATTAGCATTAAATCCATTAAACAACAATGAGATCTAGTGTCTCCCTTTCCTCCCTCTATGCTCTCCACCATTTTTGGATAAGCCAGGCCCAAGTTTATGACAACTGAACTATTCCAGCCTGATCTGGTGTCACACATGGAAAGACAAAGTCCAATGAACCTACTTACAACCTCCCCAAAGCTGCTTGAGTTCTCCCACAGCCTGCCACCTCTCCAGTAACCCCTGGCAACCTCATCTCCAATTTGGGAAACATTGCAGCTGGATGCAAGATTTCATTGTTTTTCTGGGTGTGCAAAGCACCCCAAGCCCTTTCCTTGCTATTGGTTTGGCTCAAAGTGGTGCAGGAGAACCGTGGCTGCTCTGGGGGTGGGATGGGGTGGGTGAATTTGCACCTGCCCCATGCTCACTGAATGGATGTGAAGGCGATTCCAGGCAAACCTATCTGACCATCGGGAGATGGGATCAGTGTTAAGGCATGAATTATCCTCTCCCCTGCTGGAGATGCTTTCTTCCCACTAATATGTTCTTGCAGAAGGTTCCCAACCAGCCCAAGGAGGGATTTGGGAAGGCTCCTGGCTATCCACACCAAGAAACGCCCACACTTCAGGAAATGGCTGTTTCTCAGGAACCTCAATCCTGATCTACCTCTTAGACCAGCACAAATTCCTCCAGTTTGGCAAAGGCCATGCCGCTCCCTCCGGCCCATGCTGGGCACCAGCCTCGCCTCTCCCGGCCAGCTGGGTCAGGCACGGTGTAGGAAACCATGGAAAGGACATTCACTGGCAGCTAGGAAGGGTGATTGGAAATTCAAGTATGCTTTCCTCAGCGCGTGGCCCAAGGTGGGCGTCAGGAGCCCCAGACTGGCACGAGGGTTGTGGACATCCCCACCCAAGGGCATTTCCGTGCACCCCACCATCCTCCCCGCTGGATGTCTGCCTGCGCTGGCGTGGCCACGCAGAGATCCACAGATACAATGTGCATCTGTAAATGCTAAAAATAATAAAAAGTGCAACAACGTCAGCTTCTTTAAAACAATCCACACTGCTCTGTTACTGTCACAGGAGGGAGGTGTCAAGGGAGCCGGGGTGGGGAAAAAAACCCTAACTGGAACAGTAGATTGCAAATTTCTCACAGCTTGCACATTACAGTGTAACTGTTCCCAAGGAGCCACAGAGAGAACCTGTCTCTTCCTGCTGCAGCAGTCAGGCCCTTCTCCTAGCAACTCTCCTGCCTGCCCCGCATCCTCCTGCCCTCTCCACAGCCAATCGAGCCTATGGAATTTCTTCACTTAATTAAGGAGGGAGGAGGACAGAGGAGCTGAGTGCAGGGGAGGGAGGGGAGGAAAGTGAGCAGGAACTAAGCACAGTCCTCAGGTTTGCGTCAACGATGCCTTCACCGTAAACAATGGGAAGGAGGGTCAGCCAGCCAGCCCCCCTCCCAGGGCGACCAAGACCTGAGCCAGCCACAGTCCTGGTCCCAAAAGGGGCTTCAGGCTTGGAGTGAATGAGGGAGACCATTCAGCAGATCCACCCCAGAGTGGTTTGTTTTGGAACGTTTTCTTCTCTTTTTGGTTTAAAATGTCACTTTTTTTTTTTTTTTTTTGTTTTTGTTTTCATTTTTCGCTCTTCCTCCTATGCCTCCTCCTCCTCCTCCCTCCTAAAGAGAAGCCCCTTCCAGTAAGACAGGGCAGGAGCTGCAGGTGTGGTGGTTCCTGCAAGGCCCAGGAGGCACCGGTCACTTGTGACGCTGAGCCGTCTTCTTCCGTTTCCTCTTAAAGAAGCAGCAGCACCTGGGGCACAAAGGACAAGGAGGGAGAGTCAGCCCTGCGCCCAGCAGCCTGTGATGTCCCCACAATGTCCCCATGATGTCCCTGCCATCCCCTGACTTGTCCTCATGCAACAGCATCTCTGCCTGCCCGGCCTGGGCCCCACCACGCTGCCGGGACCGGGGGCAGGTGCTGGTGGGTGGATGACACCACCAGCCTGCCCTGGGAGAGCAGCCACGGCCAGCTGGGGTGTCTCACTGCCAGGCCCCAGAGTGCCAGCCAGGCTTCTCCCTCCCAGGCACCACTGGGACACAAGGAGCAATCTGGGAAAGCAGTAAAACAGGGACCCAGGTGCTCCACTCCCTCTGTCCCACCCCAGAGGAAGTGGACTGGGAAGGTGAGCTCTGGCTGCTTTTCCCAGCCATGAGACACACGGTTTTCACTACTGTTCACAAAGAAAACAAGTTCCAAAGAGACCTCGGCTCAGAGACCAGGTTTCTTTACTGAACCTTTCACAATAACCAGGGCTTCCACCTTGGATCAATCACTCAGTGCTGGGATGCAGAACCCCTGCTTCTTCCCCCATCCGATGTGAGGGTGGTGCACAGGATTAGGGGAAGCAAGAAGGATGGAGAGTGGAGGCTGAGGTAGGGAGAGGAACGCCCAACGCAGCTGAACCGTGAGGAGCGGTGGGTTCCCTGTGGGATACACTGGGAGCAGTCATCCAGATCCTACACTCCTCCTGGCTTCCTGCAGAATTCCTTGTTGATGAACATGTATCTACCTTTCTACCCTCAGCCCACTGTCAGAATGCTCTGCACATCTGTGTGAGTCCTCCCAAGCTAAGTGTCTTTCTCCATCTGCTGGGACAGCTGTCCCCAGAGAAGCCTGGGTGATGCTGCAAGACTGCTCTTGCAGGCTGCTGGAAGGGATGCCTGGATAAGCAACCAGAGTGGACCACTGAGTCTTAGATGATCCTGAATTGGAAGAGACCCCTAAGGATCATTGAGTCCTGGCTCTGCACAGGACAGCCCGAAGAATCCAACCACGTGCCTGACAGTGTTGTTCAAATGCTCCCTGAGCTCTGGCAGGCAAACGTAAGGATGCAAAGTCTATTTTATCCTACAACAATCTGTTGTAGGCTAAAAACATTCCAAACCACTCTAACATCTTCTCCAAACCAGCTTTACACCCCTGTCCTCTCAGAACTGGAGGAACCCAGATACTTGTCCCTGGGTGCACAAGCCTCACTCTGGGGTGCAAAAGCGATGTGTGAGCACAACCTGCCACGAGCTGAGCCTGCCAGCACAGATTGACTGCTTGGGAGAACAAACAACTCTCCCTGTGACATGGAGAGCTCCCACAGCCCCACAAGAGGAGGGACCCCTCCCAGTGCACGGACTGATGTCCATGATTTGTCTCTAGGCTCCCGAAAAGGCCCAGTTTGGCGGCGGGACGAGGAGAAATGCAAAGCCCTTGTCCTTGCAGGGCAAGTGATGCCTCCATTGCTGCCGACCCACCCTGAGGTGTTTGTCTGACACCTCAGCACCCCCATCCCAGGCTGGAACCCCCACCCCAGGGCTGCTCTGGCATTCTGTTGTCCCGGGCCATCTGCCACCACGTCCTGCTTTAGCCTGTTGCAATATTTCTCCCACAGTGGCCACCTTCCTTCATGGCTTGTGCGATGGTGAGTAAGGGGGACGTCACAGGGAGAGGATGGAGGATGCAGGAGTGATGGTTTTGCATGCAGCGGGTAAGAAGAAGGGGCTGAGCAGCACTCGACTCCTTGGGCACCAGACAAAGGGAGCTGACTGACTTCTGGCTGGTTTTCCTTGTGACTGTCTTTTTAGGCTCTTACTCAGAGGTCCAGGGAAGGGTTCAGGAAAGGAAGTCCTGGCAGTTCAGACAGGCAGAGGCAAAACACCAAAATAAAAGGATAAGGCAGGCTGACAATTACAGAACGTGATCTCTCTGCATGCAGATGATGCTCAAGAGAACAGCCCCAGACTACGACATACAGAGAAGCCAGAGATGCCAGAGGTATTGGAGGCAATGCCTATGGAGAGCAGGGCAGAGTCAGTCTCCCATCCAACAAGGACATTCCTCACCACACACGGGCTTGGCTCCCTCGCTCTGTGGCAATTTCCACCCATCAGCCCACCGTGGAACCCACAAACTCATCTGAGTGTCTGCTTGGTCCTTCACTTCCTCGGGACGTGGTTTCCCCAGGGGGCGCCTCCTGGGACAACCTGAGACTGGGACACTACAGCTGCAGCTTCAAAGCTCTGATAAAGCCCCAAGCTGGGCTTGGACCAGTGCTAATCCCAACCTCTCTACCTCTTCTTTCCTGGAGAAGCCCATTCACCTGCACCTCAGCTGGCTGGAAAGGAGCCAACTCCCACCTACCCTCTCTGAGTAGGGGCTCTGTCACTAATGAGGACTCCCTGGCCTTGTCCTTCCATCCTCTCTGGCCTGTGCTTCTCCAAGAAGAGGCTTGCCAAGGAAGTGACTGGCTCCTCCCCTCAATACTCAGTGCAGGGTTTTCCCTTTGTAACTGTCTGTGTGAGGAATTCCTGCAAGAGGCTCAGCCAGCCTTGGCCCGACTCTGCCCAACTCCATCAGGCATCATCTGCTCACAGACGTAAACGTTTGGGGGAGATGGAAAGCCAAATAGGAAAGGATTTAAATTTGATTTTGCATCCATCCATTCAGAGATCAGCCGAATCCCTCAGCCTAGTGTGGCCGGCCAGACACAGCCCATGCCCTCCCCAATATTGCAAATGGTCCTAAAATCAAAACAGCTCTGGGTTGGCTTTGACTTTGTGCCTTTTTAGCGTTTGGTGGGTTTGGTTTTGCCAACCCCAGTCTAGTCTGGTCCGCTCCCCCTTGCATGTGGACTGGAGAGAGGGACTCACCACAAGTTGAGCATTTTCAGGCAGCTACAGAGAGTATAGAGAAAAAACACAGAAAGGAAGAAAGAGCGATTAGTTCACAGAGGTGGGATGGAAGCGAGTCACTGCAGCCATGCAAACATGCAGTGCAGAGCGGCAGACACACACCAGGCCTGCCCGCTGCCCGCCCCGGCACTCACACCGCTCTGCCCTCGCCACCTCTTCCACGGCGCGAGGCCTCTGACCAACACCGCTCCCCACGGAGGCACCAGACCCCAGTGCTTATCTGGGGCTGGCACCAGAAAGGAACTCTGGGCCACCATCAGCTCTTGTCCCCTGCAGCTCCAGCAGCACAAGGGCCTGATGATGGATCTGATGGGACCTGCCCTCCAGCCACACCCACTGCCAGAATCCTGAGCTTTTCTCCAGCACACTCCACTGGCACGGCTCTGCCTGTGGAGTGCCAGGGAAAGCCCATCTCACTACTGCACATCATCTCAAAACACAGAGCTCAGCTCCAGCTCCAGCTCCTGCCAGCTTTCTCTGGCACCCTTTTCTGCACAGCAGAATCCCAAAGTCCTTTGCCTTTTTTGTGTGCCTGAGGGAATTTGTGATCAGTGAAGTAAGGAAAGACAAAGCCCTCCCTGTGGCAAACAGAATGAAGTGACCTATGCTTGGCAATTACAAGAGAGCCCAAACCTGTCAGTGCAAAGCAGTGTATGCTCTGCTTCCCAGCATCTCCAAAACCAATCTGGGAGCATACAAACCAGGGCTGGAGAGAGACAGGACAGCTCCACGTGCTGTGGGATAGGGCCTGGGTGGCACAGCTCCTTCCCACCTCACTTGACGTCTCCCCAGCACACAAAGTGGGGGCTGGACCTGGCCTCGCTGCACAAATATGGGCTGGAGATGTTCCTGGATCTTCCTTGCACTGGGTTGTTGGATCAGAACTGTTGAGGATGACAATCTGCCCCATCCTAGGAGCCACATGCCTGGGGGTAGCCCCCTTCAGAGCTCATGATGCCAAGCTGGTGGTCTCTGCTGGCCACACAACCTGTATCTAAGAGGAATGTTGCCCACTCTGGAAGTTGATCCTCAAGATTTCTCCCACCCTCCCAGCTTGATGAGGAGCCTGCATCAAATCCAAGGCTTCTTGGGCTGGGAGGAGAAGGTGTGTCTGTGGCTGCTGGGATCAAGGCCAGGCCAGCTACCAGTGAGCAACATCCCACACATGTGGCTTCCCAAGGGACTGGGGAATCCCCGAGGGACTGGGGAATAGAGAGCAGAAGACCTTCAGGACAACCAGCACAGATGACACATACCTAGGGATCTTTTCCATCCATACACCCTTCCTTACACCTGCCACTTTTCCTCTTCATACAGAAGTGCCCGCAAAGGTTGAGGCAAACAACGGGGGACAAGTGTCACCAGTATCACCCAGTCAAACAATAACCAGGCAGCTGGGCCATGTCTCAGCGCCGACCAGTTCACAGGCAGCCCTGGGCCTATTGACCCCTCATTTGGGTGGTGCCAGAACTCTGTGGTGACCCTGCAGTGACAGGTCCTGGTTTAGTTCAGAGGCGGTGAGAAGGTACAAAAGGTGACATGATGGTGCTGGATACAGGACAGGAGGCAAAATGGTCAAAACAGCAGCTCTGACAGCAGCTCTCACATCTGACCTCAAGCTACAGGAGAGGTCAGCTTAGAGGGAGCACTTTCTGCTCCACATGCTGCTTCTGGTTCCTCTCACTCAGCTTCTTAGGGCTGATCCAAGAGAACCCCCAGGGAGAACAACTCATCCCTGCAAGAGTTACTTCCAGACTGTTATGGATACCTGTCACCCATCTCTCACAGCCAGAAATGAAGTGAAAACTCTCAGACCAATGATCTCTTTGCTGAGCTATACTCGAGCTACTCCTACACGCTCAGCACGAAAGCACATCGTGTTCTCCCTCTGCAACGGGGGTTGTTCACCGGGATTCCTGAGCGCCGCTCCCGGTATTTTGGTATCTGTGCTACTGAAATGTCTATCTGGCAATACATGCTCTGAGTAAGAGTTATGTTCTCCAGGCATGACAAGTGTCAAAGAGAAGCAGCAGCAGCAGCAGCACTGAAGGCACCATGCACAAAAGCAGCAATACGCAAGGAAAAGGGCATGGGACATGAGCGTTGAGGACTTTGCCACAGAAAAATGTCCCCAGTTGCTTCCCAGGAGAAGGATAATGACCACCCAGTGGAAAGCCTGTTGTAAAGCAAACGTACTTAGCTTCCTCCACCACCTCCACCTCCGCCTGCGCTGTGATGGGTGCGTTGGAGTGTGCTCCTGTTGGGTCGTCCACGTTCAGCTCCCCGTTGGTTGAGCTCACCACCTACAACACAAAGGAACACCCTGTTCATGAGGCTCCCCTGGCAAGGGCTGCTGAGAGAATGGGAAACCTGACAAATAACCATTTATTCCTGTCCTTTTCACCGTCTCAGGAGGCTGCTGAGTTTTGTGGGTGCCTTGGAGTCTCCAGGCTGGAGCAGCCAAAGCAGAGCAGCCAGCAGGGGCCTGTGTGTGCTCCCTAACTCACATTCCTGTGCCCAGCACATGACTTGGCATCGAGAGGCCCCTCTGGGAGTGCAGGCACTGGTGGCAGCACTGATTGCCAGCCCTGTCTACACACACGAGCTGCACCATGCTGATTGTTTTCTCCTGACACTTTTACAGTCCTGTTGCCTGACAGTACTATGGGGAGAAGCCTCAATCCTCAAGTCTCATTCTTAACACAGCCAATTTTGGGAATTATGTCCTCGCCCCAGAGCTACTGACGTAATCTCTCATCTCTTTTTGCCTCACACCTGAGATGATGGCTCACTCCAGCTTTTCCATTACAGGGATAACCATCCAGCTCACAAGCTCCCAGCAGCTTCACTGGTGGAGATTAGGATTTTTCTTATTTTTATTTTCTCTCAGGGAATTTTGTCCTATTTGTTGCCTAAGAGATGGTAACAACCAGAACTTAAGAGACAAAATAAGCGGTCCAGCAGGGTGAAGCGTGCAGCTGGCTACTCTCTCAGCTGGCAGCTTATCTCTTGGAAAAGGCAGAGATACTGCAAGATTTTTGAACAGCAGAGTTGCTGCTACTGTGGGGAGAAGCTGCTGTCACTGTGGAGCCCAATCCTGTACTGCTTCTTCCTTACTGTGGGTGAGCCTTTGCTCATAAGAGCGGCTGCAGGACTGGGACCTTACATCCAATGGCACTGGAAAGGACATTCACCATCTACTCGGGTGCCTCAGGGGGAAAACTGGGGCCCTGAACCCCTCCCCCTTCCCAAGGGGCACATCTGTACTGCTGCTCTACCCGGTTGTTTTCTGGGGCTGCCTGGGGCTTTTTTACCATACTTTAACCCAGCACCAGGTGCCTGCTGGGACACCCCGCAGCTGCTGCTATGGCTGGGGAGTTTCTGCTACATTTTGTTTGCCACCCCAAGGTGTGCTCGCCTCTGCCATTCCAGCAGCCACTCTGACGTTCCTGCTGCAGCTCATTTCACCATCCAGAGAGGCACCGGGACCGGCTGCCCCAGTGGGTTTGCAAAGGAAGCGCCTTTTCCATGTTTCACCTGGATGTTAGCACAGGCTCCTGCATCTTGCTGTGAAAACTGGGAGCTGCTCTTGGCTCGAGAGCTGTAAGTACACCTGGTTTCCCCATCCTGTTCCTCCTCTTAGCCTTTCTACAAGGTGAAAGGAGGCATCTTGCATGGGGTGGGGGCAGGGGTGGTACCTGGAACTCCTGGTGGCTCCAGATGATCTGACCGCGAGGGATGAAGGGGAGGAAGCTCTTGAGCAGATGTCCCCATGTCAGCACATTATGTTAATTTTGAACACACACTTAATTTGAACACCAGGAGCTGCTGTTTCTGCCACCAGGCCCCTTCGGCTCTGCCAGGACAGGTTAGAATTTGGCTCGCATGGTGCTCAGAGCTCTCCTCGAGTGACAACTCCGTGGTCTTCACCCCTTCCCTTATTCATCATGCCTGGGCTGCCCCAGGTTCTCCAGACCCCCTTGCTTCCCATGCAGATCTGCAGAGCGCTGGCACTTAATTGAATTGTTCCCAGGGCTCTTCCCACACTTTTTTCAGCTACTTGTTAAATTCCATGTTAAATTCATTCCATGCTTTGATGTTCCTCCTCACTTTTCACATGCCACCGCTTCATTTTCATGTGGTAAATTCTGCCTTAAAGGGAATGGTGACTCGAAGCTGCTGACCTGCCAAGGTCCAGCATGAGCTTGGGTGTCTGCTGAGGAACAATTCCAGCCTCTGCAGCTTAGCAGCCACACACAGCACATTTCCTGTTCTCAACTGCAGATAAGCAGAATTTTAATGCTTACAGTAGCACAAGGAGCTCGTAAACTGCTCAGGTTGGCAACTCTTCCCATTTGATTCCTAGGGCTGCTTCAGTGCTGCTGCCACAAGGAAACACTCCCTTCACTGAGAGGGACCAATCTGATTTTTATTTATGCCTCAACATATGTTATACATGAGATGAAAGATTCCTGAAAGAGCTGTACATGTTGTGCTAACAGCCCTGTCTCTGGGGAGGCTTCTCCTCACAGCCAGTCAGGGCAGAGAAAGCCTCCATGATCAGACTGTGAGTGACCTCTCCCCACTTCCCAGTGGGGCACATGCCTGGATGCCTGTGAAGAATGCCCAGGGAATTCAGGCTGTGGAAGGAACCTTAACACATAAAAGCAGCTGACTATCACACAAGGAGAGCCATTTTGCTTTGGGTTGCTAGGAGAGAGTGGGGGCTCGCTTGTAGGGCTTATAGGCTCGCTTGTAGGCTCCTTTTATTGTGGAACGGGACACTCACATAAAAAAAATGAATAAAAATATCCACTCTGTACTGAGTGCTGAAGTTGTACAATCACAGAATGGTTTGTGTCAGAAAAGAACCTTTACAGTTTATCTAATCTAAGCCCCTGACATAGGCAGGGACACCTTACACTGTAACAGGCTGCTCCAAATTCCACCCAACTTGACCTTGGACACTTCTCTAGGTTACTCTCTGCTCACATTTGTGAGCAGAGCTACACATTCATCAGGTCCTCCTCATCTTTGTCTTTCTCCTACTAAGTAAAATATCTTTAAACTAAAAGAGGACTGAGGCTAATCAAGCTAAAACCACATTAAATGCAACTAAGTATCAAGAATAAGTAAAACTGTCAACCTAACCTGCATTTTTCTTAGGGACATCCTGCACTACCTGTCTCCTTGGCTCAGCTCTGTCCTGCTCCAAGCACTAATTCCCATTTCACCAGAGCCATTGTTCAGGGTGCTGTGTCTGCTAAAGCTCTGCCAAAGACGCAGGGATAGCAGAGTTCTTGTTTGCCTGGATGACTCCTGCACCTTCTCTCCAGCTTGTCCAGCCAGCTCACTCTGGCTTTAGTGCCAGAAGGTCCCTCAGCGACAACGAGGACAGGAATAGGAATTTTTTAGGAATTTAAAAACACTGGTAGTGCCAGCTCCAACACTGTCTGTTGCACATCCTCTGCTCATCTTCTTTCACTACAGCCCTCTGGAGATCCACCTTGTGCCCACCGTGCCCTCAAACTAGTAGTGATCTGCTGTGGAACAGCTCAACACTTTTCCCAGTATTAATGGGGACTATGTACAACAAATCCTACTTCAGCTGCCTGTATTGCCCTAGGGCACCTCCAAGGTAGGGTAGAGGATACTTTATAGACCACATCTACTAATGCCACTCCCTTCTGTCTTCAGTTTAAAAATCTGGACTCAAAACAGCTTAAAAATTTTTGTTGAAACAGTAAAAGCCATGGTGTTGGCCATCACAGCTTGATTCCTTCCCAAACCATGGCTTGAGCAGGACGTATGGGACAGGACCAATAAAATTGCTCTCCTGACCGCAACCTTGCTGCAATTAGAGGAGAATTCAGGGGGTTTAACACAAAGGCTGCACACAACAGAAAGAAGAGGTACCTGCACTGATCCTCCATGTCGATCTGCAGCCAAATGAGATGTCAAGTACGAGGTATTTGTCTGCCGGCTCGGCTGGATCTCCCACTCTCCTCGGCGATCCGATGATGCCTGCTCAGGAGTTCAGGAGCATGAAAGAAACAGAAGGGAGGGCAAAAAGTGAACGAGGAGAAGAAATAAAGGTGTATTGATTAGTAAGTTAGTTTCTTTGCAGAAAGCAAGGTATTTATACTTTTAGCTGGGCTAAAATTCCCCTTTACCAAGTGCACCTCATTATTTACTTCCATAGTGGCTGCAGTGATCCACTGTGGGAGTGGATTTCATCTCCTTTAGCTGCTGAATGAAGGGAAAAATCTATTCTGGAGAAAATTTCTTTACAACAGCTTCTCTTCCATGGATTTCAGCACAGCCACAATTACACTGACAGTATTCTACTATGTCTGTCAGACCACACACACCAGAGCACTTGGCACGGCAGCAAGATGGGATTCACAAGCTCTACCTCCCTCAAATACTTATTTTTAAACTAAAAATTGCAGCATAAACTGAAGCCAAACATTTAATTTCACCCAAAGGCAGTTCCACAGACTGATTCACCTGTGCAGTGCAGAAGGAAACATCCACACTTGCTTGACTGAAGACAGGGTCGGGGGCTTTTTGGGTTTCTGCAGAAAAGTAGGTAAGATGCTTGGGCTAATAAAATTCCTCTTTGCCCCCAACAGATGAACACATCAGGTGATTTAAATTATTAGAACTTCATTTATTTTCTTAGAAGAATCACTTTGCACTTGAAGCTCAGGTGGGTCACTGCTGGGGGTTAGGGTTTTTCCTTTTGCTTCTTTCTCTCACGGAATGTTGTCCCATCTGTTGCTAAGATACTTAAGAGAACAAAAGATGTGGCTGGGAGAGGAGGAGGAGGCGGAAGGGTGCAGCTGGCTACTCTCTTACCTGGGGGGTTTCTCTTGGGAAGGGCAGAGTTACCAGGAGATTTTAGGTTGGGAGAAGGGGCTGGGTGCAGGTCCTAGCTCCCTCTCCATGTCAGCATCAGGAGAGAACGGTCGAGCTGTTGCTTACTGTGGGGAGAATTCACTGCCACTGCTGGAGCCCAGCCCTGCTTCTTCCTTACTGTGGGTGAGCCTTTGATCGTAAGAGCAGCCATAGGATTGGGACCTTATTAACACCCTGGAAAGGACCCTCACCATCTACTCGGGTGCCTCAGGGGAAAAGCCAGGACCGCCTCATCCCTGTTCCAAGGGAACCTCTCGCGGCCGTGGTGGAGCCCCGTCTGCCGGGACACCTCACGGTGCTCCAGCTGCGCTGTTTCTGACAGATTTCATTCACGGCTCTGGGGTCTGCCCGTCCCATCCAGCCCAGCCGCCGCTGCGCGGTTCCCGCCGCGGCCCCGCGCCTCTGTGGGGCCGCCGCCATCGCCCTGAGGGAGCGCGGCCGCGCCGCGCCACAGCGCCCCCTGCAGGGCGGGGCCGAGCCAGCAGCGCCCCTGGCGGCCGTGCCCGGAACTGCAGGCAGGGCAGCGCGCCGCAGCCGGAGCGGCCGGGCGGGATCGGGGCCGGGATCGGGGCCGGGATCGGGGCCGGGATCGGGGCCGGGATCGGGCCGGGACCGGGCCGGGATCGGGGCCGGGATCGGGGCCGGGATCGGGCCGGGACCGCGCCGGGATAGGGGCCGGAGCCGGAGCCGGGATCGGGCCGGGATCGGGCCCGGGATCGGGCCGGGATCGGGGCCGGGATCGGGCCGGGATCGCGCCCGGGATCGGGCCGGGACCGGGCCGGGAGCCGGAGCCGGGCTCGGCTGTGCACACACACGCACTGTGAGGAACTGCTTTTCCCCATCTCTGCATGAAAGCCCCTGAATATCAAAGCTACAATAATACAGAAGGAAGAGAGTCATATTTTCCATCCCAAGAGAGGTCTCGCCTTCCTTGGCAGATACCTGTCTTCAAACCAAGACAGTCACCCACCTTTGGTGACAACACATCCAGTGCTCACCTAAGACTCAGGAAGATTTTGGCACACCAGAACCCAACTGACCAGTGGGAAGAATGCTTCCCAAGACTGGGAAGTGTGGGACAAACAGATCTGTGTTGGCCTCAGCTGAATGAGACACCATGGATCTGGCCAGGAAACAAGAGGCTCCAGCTAATAAACCCAGATTGTGAGCAGGGAAAGTGCACCCAGGGAAAGATTCCAGAAACCCTTCCAAATCACATGGCAAAACTAAAGACAGAGGAGGGAAAAGCTCACTCATCTCGGATTAAAACCCTTCACCTTCCAGAGGAAATGGCTACAAAGAGGGGATTCCACACTAGCTCTTTACTAGGAGTCAAATATTTTAAAAGAGAATCTGCAGTTATTACACCCAAGAACAAAAATTAGGCCATTAAATCTGGAGACCCAAACCCACGCCTCCAATTCACTTCTCAAGACATTTATTTTTTTGCTTTTATCCTTTAGAGAAATGCTTTGCTCAAGACTGTAATGGAACATCCCTCAGAAGAGAATAGTTTGTGTTTTGGTGAGAAGAACCTGATTTCCTCCATGGCATATTAAACAACTCATCATCCTAAGTAATGTTTAGGTGAAAATATGACAAAAGCTGCTGTGCAATCCAGAACTGGACTATCTGTGCAGCTCAGAAGAACAAGGCCTGCAGGCTGCCTTCGTATTTTGGAATTTCTTTGTGCCTTTGTGAACTAAAATGCCTGAAAAGGAAGCCAGGTGTCACTGTGCTGTCAAGGAAACACAATGCCTCACAAATACACAATGTGAAGGTCTGTGGTTAAGGTGGACAATAGGAGACTGGCTGAACAATCCCCCCAAAACCAGGGGGTTACTGCATCCATCAGTGTATTTATTAAAGCAGAGCTGTATCAGAGCTCACACACCAGCCCACACTAATCACCACGTAGACATGCTGCAAACAACCTGGCCTCCTACAGCAACACTGCCACCAAGGGTCATCTCCACTGCAGCTGATGCACTGGGATGTATCCTACCCTGTGTTAGCTGTGCGACCCTTCAGAGCCCAGGCAGGTTGTTACACCCCATGCTTGGTTCTGCACCCACAAACCCTAGCTCAAGGAACTGAGCAGAACCTGGAGGTTGGGGGAGCAGAATAAGCCTGGAACCACTCTCTGAGAGTAAGAGCAGCAACAGCTCCAGCTGGAAGCTGCAGTTGGAGATCTACTGCAAGTCTGAGGATTCTGTTAACACAGAAAACCCAAACTCTTAACACCAACAAACAACACAACAAGAAAGCAAAAAATTCAATTTTCCCGTGGCAGTTCATCCAGACTGTGATGCCTTCTTGAGGGTTCTGTCCCACCTGTCCTTTGTGCTCTACAACACTCACACTGTGAACTGGACACTCTAAGAAGGATATCTGGATGTTCTTGGGACACTCATCCCTGTCACAGCTACATGCCCCGTGGGCAGAGGGCACCTGGGAACAGGCTGCCATCAGCACAACTCTCAGTCTGCTCCATGGTCCATGTGCTATGAGAAAAAGCACCTCAAAAAATGTGGTAGTCAGGGAGTCTAACCAGGCTGGATGATTGACTTTAACCTGTTTACCCACAAACTACAGCAAAACAACCCCATTCCAAACTGGACTCCGGTTAGCTCCCGATACCGAGGAATTACACTGGCTGATACCTTATTTCAACAACCTGTTGCTTTGACAAAATTCTCCTCATCATCTAAATTAAGCAGGAATTGTCCCATGCTATGCCCAAGTATCAGCCCCAGCCATCTATAATGCCATGTGGCTTCTGCTGCTCAGTGCCAGAGGAACTGAGAGAGGAGCCAAGCAGCGCACCTGATTGCGAAGGGCCTGCTGGGATGGTCGGTCCCGGTGGATGTGGCTGTCTCTGGTCACTGCAGAGGTCCCAGAATCTACATGGACAGATCCCACGGGAGTAGGCTGGAAAATAAGGTGTTGGTCAGGGCTAAGACTCTCAGATGCACAAACTCACCTTGTCAAGCCAGTAGGAAGAAGAAAAACATCAAAACGCTGCCAAAAGGAGCCAAGGAGAATTACAGCCAGGGCTGTAAAGTCCCTGTGATTTACAGACATGAAATCTGATGGTGGACATCAGCACCGAATGTCTTGTGTAAAAATTAATTAAGAAGATACAGTTAGGTGCCTGTCTCGATGTCAGATCACACCTAGTGTGTCTCACACAGAATTATTACAACTGAAAATATACAGACTTGTTTTCCTCATCCCATTGTCTCACCACTTGTAAAAATCACGCTTGCATAGAAACAGGATGTGTTAAAATTAAAGCTTCATCTGCTCTCTTCTCACCAAAGTCATAATCCCTGCTCCCAGCATCGAGATCTCCATGGCAACCACCGCGGTTGTCAGCAATAGCACACTTGTCTTACAAGGTGCTCTTTATCAACTGCCTTTGTAATTAAAGAAAAATTAAGAGAAAATCTTGATTCACAAAGGGAATGATTTCTTAGGAATTCTGTTGAGCACAGTGAGCATGGGGAACGCTAAATATAGTTGGGACACTAAAGCACTGGCAGTGGTACCAAGTTTAGCACTGATGGCATTTGATCTGGCACCAGTGACAATTCACTTACAGATGTCATTACTGCTCTTTGGGGTGAATTGTGAGCAGAATGACCCAAAACTAAGAGCTTTAGATTCTTCTACCATATTTCCCCACGACACATCCTTTGGCCAAGGTCTTCCTGAGTTTAACTGGGTTTTGACGATAAAAGTGAGACAATGAGATCAGGGTGATGGTCCACATGGAGTCACAGAACTGCTAAATGGAGGTTGGTTTCTCCCACATTTCCTTGCCATGTACTGTACAGAGCTGCTTCAGCCTCTGAGTGTCCTCCAAGATATTCTGAGTTCAGGAGAGCAAGTTTAGATTAGATATTTGGGAAGAAATTCCTCCCTGGGAGGGTGGTGGGGCTCTGGCAAGGTTGCCCAGAGAAGCTGTGGCTGCCCCACCCCTGGAAGTGTCCAAGGCCAGGTTGGAAGAGGCTTGGAGCAACCTGGGATAGTGGAACGTGTTGAACATAATGAACTTTACTATTCATTCAAACTCAAACCATTCTGAGATTCTACTATCCACTGAACATCCATCAGAAACCTGCCTCAATCTCCTGTACCTTTCCAACGGGAACATAACCATTATAGGGGGTTTCTGTGGTTTTCCTGCTTTAAAATGGATTTTAGATACTGATCTCCAATCCTGTGCTAGACTAGAGGGAATTCAGTCTCATCATGATCATTCTCACAAATGGGAAAATGAGGCTTGAATGTCCAGAGAGGTGAATGGGCTCTCTGTCCCTCAGAAAAACTTATAGATACTGCAAGAGCCCCCTGAACACAAGGTCAGGACATCTCACTGTGCTGAGATTTGAAAGATTTGATCCTAAACTCACTGGCATTAATTGGGATTATTTGGAACAAAAAGGCAATGGTGGGGAAGCAGCACCTGGAAGGCAAGGCATGGGACTTTGCAGGGACAACTCACAATTGGCCTGCCGACCCAGTCGTAGGCGTAGTCAAAGGTGTAGCCTTTCTTTTCAAACAGCTCCGTGAAGATGGTCCGTAGGTAATCGTAGTCTGGTCTCTCAAAGAAGTCTAACCGCCGCACATAGCGGAGGTACGTGGCCATCTCCTCTGTCAGAAAAGGGGAAAATGCAGCAGCTTTTATCCTGAATCCTCCAAATGAGTTCTTAGAAACCAATGCCTGGGCTGCCAGCACTACCTCTGGCTGTTCTCCTACAAGTCATGGGTTTTAGCAACAGTCCTCAATGAAAAACAATTCAAGCAAAGATGGAAGTCCCACCTCTGCTCAAATCTGACTTTGAGCAAACCTTGACTTATTCTATACATTTGTATAAAAATAAACAGTGAGAAATAAGCTCACTGAACTTGACAACAGGCTGCTCACAGGCATTTAGAATGCTCTTGCCCAGACAAGCTGTGGCTGCCTCATCCCTGAAAGTGTCCAAGGCCAGGCTGGATGGGGCTTGGAGCATCCTGAAATAGTGGAAGGTGTCCCATCGTGACATTGGCAGCACCTGAATATTCAAAACTAGACTAGAGAGGAAGCTCCAAGGTTCATTTACCTGAAGAGGGTTAATTTACAGACCAGGGTTTGGTGTTAAGATAATTAATTGCTTTCCTGCATCTGGGCTGCACTTTGCATGCACAGAATATTGAGTCCTAGGAGCTCATGTCCTGCCTTTTCCCAGCTCTCCCTTGGCTCATGGCCTTGACTTCAGCTGACAAAAATAAGACTAGAACTGCTTATTAATACTTAACTCTGTCTGTGGCTTGTGGCTTCCATGGAGGTAAAAGAGGGGAAAAAAAGGAGAAGAAAGAATCCTCTTTTTTAAGTACCTCCAGAAGTTTCAGGAAAAGAAGGGACAGACCTCAGTTCTTGCATCTCCTATCAGCCCAGACCTGAAGGAGCTGTGAGGAGGAGTATTGGCAAAATGAGAACAGCCAACCTGAAGCTGCTTTGCTTGGAACCAGGTGGATTTTGGAATGAGACATCTGGGGAATTACAGTGACTTGAGTGACCAATGATCCCATTCCAGACTTGCTGCTCCCTTATGCTGGGAAAGATGTGGCATAACAGCTCCTACAGGAATGGGATTAATTGTGGGTGCTCTCCCTGGTGTCAGGACTTCAGAAGCACTCCCAAAACCTCTCATGCCCACTCTGTGGCCAGGGGACCCTGGGGAAGGCACTAACTCTGTACCCTGCTCTCCCAGCTCCAAGGTCTGTTAAACTGGAGACCAGGTGTTGGGCTTGGCTAGAAATACACTTCAGTAACACTCTCCTTAAAACTGCTCCCAGAAGGTGGAATTCATTGGACAGACACACCATCCCATCTTCCAAACTGGCCACCTACACCTGCAACACCTGTAAAACCTTCCATTTGGAAAAGAATTAACTCAGTAGTTCCAGCATGGTCAGTTGGGAGAGGGAAAATAATGAGGAGCTCTTTTGGAAGGAAGCCAACAAGTAAAACAGGCACACAAGGCCCTTGAGCACTGTCCAGCCTCTTTGATGAGAAGAGTTTTGTCCATTTTAAGACCTCAGGCCTTGCTAATTTACAGCAGCAGCTTCAGTTGTTTGCCAGTCTGAGGAACAATGTGATGGATACACATAATCCAATACTTTCTGACAGAGGAGTTGGCCCATCCTATTTAACAAGGTATGGCCACCTCCAGCTGCACTCACACGATCCCATCAGGGCTTTACCTGGAAAGTTCTCACAGAGAACTTCAACTGGAGTGTTTCTCTTTGTGTCCCCAATCTTCTGATATCTCTCTTTTAAGGTGTCAGCCTGCAGCGCACAAAGACAAAACAGTTGTGGAGAAAGAGTTCAACCATGTGAGAAAGGACATGCTGTATGGGAAGAAAAACAAGGTATTTAATGCCCATTCTGCGTGATATCAAGAGATGTTACTTGTAACTGAACTGGATCCTGGACTATACCAGAAGGAATATTTCACAGGCTATTGGGAGAGAACATCCAAGGATGTTCACACCATCTTTGTTCATGAAAGGCAGGACCCTTATTAGTGTCTTACAAGGCTCATTTCTCACAGCCCAGTCCTGAGGACTGTGCAGGGAAGGCTGCATGGGAGAAAGAAATAAAGGTGCATGAACTGTGATGGCACATCAGGACCTCAAAAGGAGTCAACTAATTCTTATCAAGTTCAGCACTGAATTGAGGAGCTTTTGTAGAACCTTGTATAAACTTGGAAATAATTTAGAATAATTTACAGGATTAATTTAAAGCAGATGAGTTCAACTAAGCCAGAAAGGAAATACATACTAGAATAACACACAGAGAGGCGTGGACATAAAATCAGAGACAGTCTGATTTCTTTCACAATCCCTTTCATGTCTGAAAAACCCTTCTTTGCTTTTATGAGCAGTTGCCAACATTTTTGGCACGTGCCTAATGAAGCTGAGCTGAGACTAACTCAATAGGTGGTAAAAACCAGCTGAACAAGGTCTATCAATGCAACTGGGTCTATTCCCACTGACCAATGCAGAGCAGCTCCTGAACCCAAAGCCTTGGCTCCTTTTTCCAACAGGAGCTCTTGTCTTCCCTGATAAACCCAACCTGATCAGTCCCTTCACTCCCTTCAATGCCAAAGCTGAACACAGTAGCTTAATCATCAGGGAGGTGATGGAGAAGTGAAGATGCAGCTTCCAACAGCTCTGGAGCCAGCAAATGACTTACTCCTTGTTAGCTCAGCTGATGGATGTTGGCAGCAGTCAGCAACTCAATTTCTTGCAGCTCTCCACATTGTACACAGCATCTCATAAACTCCCCAGCACTGAGTGTCCAGTGTCTCTGGAGGGAAGCCAAGTCCAATACTTGTGCCAGAAAACCAGTTTTTCAAGCTGAAGTCCATCTGTGCATCTAAACCCATCAAACTGCTCCATTATAAACACGGATCACAGATGCAGCTGGGGGATTGTGTTGCCGTAACTGGAATTTCATAAACAATCACTGTGTCCCAGTCACGCTCCAGTGCGGGGCAGCTTCCAATCACAGCTCTCTCATTGCTGTCTCTGTCTCTCTGTTTAACCTTCTCTCCAAAATCGTACACAATTTGGCAACCTGAAGTGCCAGGTAATGTATTTCTACCTTAAAATCTTCCCTGCAGCTAAACTTAATGCCTCAGTGTTAGGGTGCAAGGGCACAAAGAGAGGACAGCATTTCTGGCTGGATTTTGCCAATGTTTCCCAGCAGATTCTCCTCTGGGTAGAGACTGGCCAAAGTTTTAAAGGACAAAACCTAAAGCTTGAACCTACCTTCAATCCTTGCCAGGGCAAGCTGCCTCGGAGGAAATACATGAACATATGGCCAAGGGCTTCTAAGTCATCTCGACGACTTTGCTCTAAAAGAGAAGAGATGACAAATTATTGCTGCAGAAGCAGAAATGGCTCTGAGATCTCAGCAGCAGCCACACCTGTACCTGATAAAGGTACCACAGGGACGTTTACTCACTGTCTGCAGCTCAGATCTTGTGCAAGACCAGAAGCTGTTTCAGAAAGTCAGAAAATGTGTAAAATCAGCCAGAAGCCATGAGGTAACATGGGAACTGCAAAACACACATCCAGCCTGAGGTAGAATGGACAACTCTTAATTGCAGAGGAATAAAGCAGAGCCTCAATTCTTCTCTGACCTGCCAGTGTCAATGATGCCATGTGGTGCTGGATCATTTCCTCTGGACTAAATGGGAATGGGATATTCACAACCAGCTGCAGGGATCTACCCTTGCACAGTGCCACCCCTTTCCCAATTTCCTCTGCTGCCCATCAGAGCAGATCAAAAATAGCTCCTTCCAGTGCCATGGAACAACACTTGCTGCTGCTGCTACATGCAGATGTTGTAATTATAAATGAAGGGGGGAAAAACGGGCACGGAGCCAAAGGAAAAATATCCTAAAACAAGCAGCCAAAATGTATCCAAAACCCCAGGGAAGGACAGAAGAGAACACCAGATGTGGAGGCAACACTGGCTGGGCTGAGCTGCACTCTGGGGTTCACTGAGCTCGTGGACTCATTTGGTGCACCCTTCCCTTCTCTGAACCCCACGAGCTCCAAACAACATGATCCATGATCCAGAGCAGATCCTGCCCACCACACTGCAGCCACCACAGGAGATGCTGGGAGTGGGAACACTTGGGAGAAGGGAACTGAAACTACAGTTCCTGCAGTTATCCTGATAAAAAGGAGAAAAAAGGAGGATGCCCTGGGTAATTTAGTGCAGTGATGCAGATGGACTTCCAGGAAGATGGTAGAGTGCACTTGTCTCTCTGAAAAACTGCAGGCAGACTTCTGAGTTTGAAAGCTGAAAGGATTGATTCCACCTGGGCTGGTCTCACCAGGGAAACATCAGCTCCTCACTACCCCTCTGGGCAGGGACAGCCCCCTCAAATACACCCCCAGAACTGATTTGGACCTTTCCCCTGCATGAGCCTAGGTGGGAGCTGAAATCCTGTGGGAAATGGGTCCTAAGGAAGGCACATGGTGCACTTCAAACACAAACACATCTTCCCTCCACATCGCCTGCACCAGCAGCTTCCCATCCTGCTCCCACTGCACCCTCCCATTCCTCCATCCCTGCCTGACTCTTCACTTTCCAAAATTAGAAACCAGGCTCATCCCTCCTTACTCCCCAAAGACAGTGAGCTCTCCAAGTGGGAGCCAACATACTAGGAGGCCTCCTGGAGAATATTCCATTATCTCACTGCTTGTATGGATTTAAGAGAATATAAACATTTAGTAAGTTATTTTTTGCCTTTCAGCCACAGAAATGTAATATTCTGGTAGGACAGAAAGCAGCGAGGAGAGGAGATGAAAGCCAGATTTAAACTTATTTAAATCATTCATTTTCTCCAACCAATTACTAGGTCAGGGAACATCCAACTCTAACACCTGGAACTGGAAGGCACTGGGACAGCGCTGTGCTATAAAAATCTATTTGTCTATCATCCAGTGCAGCAATCACCGCCTGCCTTTTATCAATGCAGGGCTGCTCCCAGTTATTTAGTTCCTAATAAAAACTGTAATTATGAGACTTCCAACATTTCAGCTGGCTCAGTTCCTCAAAAGAAGGGATAAAAAAAAAGAAAGGCACACAACTGTAAACGGCATCGGGAGGTTCACAAATAGCTTCAGGGGCGCAAGAGAGCTGAGCCAAGATGCTATGGGAGGTCTGCAGGATTCAAATGGCAAGCTGGAATGTGTCCAGGGAAGGGACTGGAGCTAGGGAAGGAGCTGGAGTACCAGGAGCAGCTGAAGGAGCTGGGGAGGCTCAGGGGGAACCTTCTGGCTCTGCACAACTGCCTGACAGGAGAGGGAAGCTGGGGAGGCGGAGCTGGGCTCTGCTCCCAGGGAACAAAGCACAGAGGAACAAAGGACAAGAGGAAACAGCCTCCAGCAACGCCAGGGAAGGCTTAGGTTGGATATTAGAGAAAATAATGCACTGAAAGGGCTGTCAAGGATTGAACAGGCTGCCCAGGGCAGTTGTGGAGTCACCACCCTGGGAAGTGTTCAGAAGATGTGTGAATGTGGCACTTGGGAACATGGTTTAGAGGTGAACACAGCAGGGCTGGTCAATTGTTGGACTCAATGACCTCAGAGAGCTTCTCCAGCCTAAAGGACACTCTGTAAGCTCCCTCCATGCAGACAAACCTTTGCCAAGGTGTGTGTTGATGGACATGTATCTCGCTGTTCCAGTGAGACTCTTGTGCTCCCTGTAGGGAATGTGTTTTTTGGTTTCTGGGTCAATGTACTCCTTGGCCAATCCAAAGTCTATGATGTGGATGACGTGCTCCTTCTTATTGCCCTGCCGGCCAATGAGGAAATTCTCCGGCTTGACATCCCGGTAGATGAGGTTCTTGGAATGCACGTACTCCATCCGAGAGATCTGCAAAAGGAGGGAAATGTTACTTGTGAGCAGAGCCCTGGCTCCCAGCAGAGCTGGAAGAGGAATGTGTCATCCCCTCCTCTCCAAGGCTATCACGCTGTGCTCCCTGCTTTATTCCCACGGAAATGGCAAAGGCTGTTTCTGAGGCGTTACCACTGGGATGCAGCTCTTGGCAGGATGCCACGGGGAGCTGCAGCAGCCTTTTTGTATTGATTTTAAACATACTAAACCGGTTACCAAGAGCTCTTCCCTTGCCCACCTCCTTCCCCTGTTGCTCTGTGTCTTACCACCTTCCTCCCTCGACCCATATGTTGTCTTAGACATGCCAGATTCTTCATGGAGGGGGATTTTTGGGCAGGCAGAAGCTTTACAATCTTCAAAGCTGACTAAAATAATAATAATTAATCTCACTGATGTCAACTAGGAATAGCTGGAATATTTTTCAGCTTTTGACTAATGTTTTTTTGGATGTTTGACTGAATGGGAAGGTGAAAGGGCAGGAACCTCACTTCTGAGGTGATGGAGTATCTCTAACAACACACCTTATTCAGAAGATCATCATTAAAACTGCTTTTGAAAACAAACTTATTGCAGGTGTATTGCCAAGCAGTTCTCCCCTGGGTCCTGAACTTAGGAGATGATTCCAGTGGGAAATAATTTTCAATTTCACTTCATTTATTACCTTTAATTGCCTTTATATGTTTCAAATGAACACATGTGAACCTCCATTTATGGCTGTCCTGGTCACAGCTGCCTTGCACGCCAAAGGACACAGTGGCTTAAACAAGATGCTTCTTAGGAAAGGCTGCTGGAATTGACCCAGATATTTGTGGGCCAGCAATGCTACAAAAGCTCTGCAAAGTTCCACCAACTCCCAGTTTTGCACTAATGAGCCTCAGTCCCCAGAGGTCACTGCCACACCGCTGTGAGGGACACCGGGGGACATCCAGGGTGAGGGCCACCAGCTGGTCACCCCCACTGGGTGGATCCTGGTGGGAAAGCTCTTAGGCCGGAGTCTTTGGGTCACTGAGCCAGCTCTCCCCCAGCCAAGCAGCAGGGACCCCCTGCCAGCCCTTCCAAACCCCTGCTCACTCCGTGGGGATGGCAGACCCTGACTGCTCCTTCATTTCTCACTGAATCCAGACACGTTCCCAGCTGGCAAACCCAGACTACTCTTTCTCTTTACAGATCTTGGACCCACACCTGGTTTTAAAAGTCCACATGCATATGATCCTCCACTACCCTCCCAGGCCCTTACCATGCACCCTATTTTAAAGGAAAATCTGCTGCATTTCCACCCCTTGGAAAGAAGTAGCAGGCAGGAGGGGGCAGCTCTCTTTATAAAATAAACAGCTGTACAGGGAGGGCAACAGACAGGAAAACATTTGCTGCAGGTGAATCAGGCTTAAAAAACAGAATTTGCTTCAAGACTCTTCAAAGAAGGGAACAGCACGTGCTGCCGCTCCCTCCCCTTGATGCAATGATTGATTCCAATGTGCCGAGAAAATGGGTTTCACGGCTAACAGCCATTATTTCCAATCAATTACAGGCTGGTGCAGAGCAGAGCAGATGCTCTTCAGTCATTCTTCACACTTTGAATCACCTACAGGACACAGCAGCAGGTCGTGAGACAAAAAGCCACATTGGGAGGCAATTCAAATGAAGATGCAACCCTTGAAAGTGGAACAAAGAGTTTCCTTGCCTCTCCACACATAACAAGCTTCCAAGTGGAGCCTGACTGGCTCATTTGATTTGTTCCTGCTACCAAAGCAGCTCAGTTATTGAAATCCCAACAGCAATTAGAGACCCTGAAAAGGGGCTATTTTTTTCTCTTTAAAAACTCTAGGCAAGTTGCAGCAGGCAGGACAACAACCTGGACAGCTGAGGTATCAGGTGAGCCAATATGCTCCAGCAGCAATCAAGGGTACTTATTTTCCTGCCTTTTTTCCTCCCACCTGTTTTTTTTTTTTTGCTTCCACCACACACACACAGCAGCTGTGGGGTCTTTCATATTCCTTCTTTACTTCCACCTGCCTGGACGCTTCATGCTGGAGAGCGCTGCTCAGCCATGGCAGCTGAAAGACACTCCCCGAGTCACAAAGATGTTTCTTGGAGTAGCTTCCATGCTTTATTCACCCTGACAAGACACTCTCCCTGCTGGTGGCTGCTGTGATGTGGAGTATCTGGCCTGCATTTCCCTTCCAGACTCTGCCTGAGCACACACGAGCAGCGGTGCTCTGGCACAACCTCGGCATCAACCCCATCGCGTGGCTGAAGGAGAGGGGAAGTGTTGCTCCCACTCCAGAATTGTACTGGATGCAGAGGTGCAGTGCCCACTCCTTTGGGTTTGAACTACAGGCTCAAACACTCTGAATTCCTTCTTTTAGAGGCAGAGAAAGCACTTGAGGAACTGGGACTAACTTGGAATTGCTCTAACACTGGAAAACCAGCAAGCACGCGTGCACTAGGGTAGACAGAAGACTGAATTACAGAGGGATTTCCATGACCATGGCCGGCTGAGTGCATCCTTGGAGCCATAAATTTCCATTTCAGATGTCAGAGAAACCTTTAGGAGGGGGGAGAATCCCTTGGCACACAGCAGGACTCCTGTGCTGTAGTGGAGAAATGAGAGGATATTGTGACATTTAGCAGGTGCCAAAGAAACCCGTGCTTTCATTTGCCTTCCTCCTGCCAAGGCAGCAAGTGTAACAAACCCTCTTATGCCAGAAAGGTAACTCTTAAGAGACTGATCTTCACAGCAGTTCCATCTCTAGACCTTCCTGACAAATTTGAGCCCTTCTTCCACACATCCCCTGCTTAAATATAGATCAGATCAGCAGAGAATGAAATTAATCTTGTTCAAAGGCAATTCTGATGGTCACCAGTAGAAAAACATCTTGCCACAACTTGGTCCAGATCACATCCAGAGTATTTTTCCAGTGCCTGGCTGCACAACAGAGCTTGTTGTAAGCTGTCAGCGAGCTTTGTACAGGCTGGGCCTGGCCAAGAGTGAAAAACAGAAGCCTGAATAAAAAAACATTCTCCTGACATAGTGACCACATTTTAATTGCCAAGTTTGGCTTTGCTCAGGAGCTTCACCCACTGGATCTGACCTACTGGATGTCTTCAGCTGCATGTAGGGTATGGAGGAAGCAGTTAAGGCTCTGAACAGAAGGAAGCAGTTAGAGTCTGAACAATTCTCAAACAGGCTGCCTTTCTTGAAGACTCATTGTCATCCAGTCTCTCTTGCCCTCAGCCAAGAGATCCTTCCTGATGTAAAACTGTGTTTGAATTCTTCTGTAATCCCACATGGCACTTCTTAAGAGACACTGCCTTTGTTTTTCATAGAGAAACTCCTCTTTCTTCTAACATCTGTAAAGGATCCAGCCCAGTCCTGAGATGCTGCAACCTGTCAAGCTCATTCACACCAGCCAAGCAGAAATACCTATTAAAAAATATCTTTCCCGGATGTCTCTGGTTAAAAATTAACCACAGGACTGGATGCTCCTACAGACATGGGGATCATCCAAAGTATGAGGAGAAAGATCAGGGGACAAGTGTCCACAGTTAGAATTACAGCAGCTTAAGCAGACTTGGCCAGGCAGAAGCAGGAACAAAACATAATTCATGGATGTGAACCCAAGGAGTCTGAGAGTCCAGCTTTCCTTTCTCATGTGTCTCACACTGGAGTGTGACACAGTGACTGCAATTTAGTGTGGGAGAAAGACAATTTTCCCTAAAGCCTTGAGGCTAGAGCAGAGCATTTTCATTTCATTTGAGCAGTTAGTGCCAGCCCCTTTGGAAAACGCTTCTCCCAGGGCCAGGTGATGGGGCACACCTGAGGATGTTGGATCTGTCCCCTTAGATGTGCACACTCCAAGGTGGCAACTCATGTAACCTCCCTGAGGAGACTGAGAAGGCCCTACAACATCTCCCCACGGCCAGAGGAGCACCTGATCCTCTGAGAGAGCATCAGCTCCTCCATTTCCAACTGCTTTTGCTGTCCCCCTGCATCAGCCTCAGCACGTGTTTTCCACCTGGCACCGGTGTCCCAGTGAGCTGCAGCCTGGCCACAAGATCAACAGGTGATGCCAGTGAAGAACATCCAAGCCCAGAGCTGAGCTGCAGCCCTGGGACATGGCAAAAGGCAACAGCCATGGCTGTGAGTTTTGATTTCCCCAGCAGTCCCTTGGGAATGAATTTACATCTTTGTATTTTCCCTGCAAAGGTCACACAAGCTGTACCTGAGGCTTTGCCATCTGCTGCCACTTGATTTAATCGAAGTCAATACTATAAATTGGTTTTCCATTGATAAAGAAACACTCAAAACCAAGAGAACTTGACTGTTCCTCTGCAGGAGGCCTCAGTACCAGGCAGGTGCTATTAAAACTTCTGCAGTTCTGATCTCAGTTTTCCATTTGAGATTCTGCTGTGTCAAACTTCAGTTTATCTGGAAAGGACGGCGTTCCTCATCCCTTACATCTCTTCCCTACCATGCTTCTATCCATGGAGCTATTAGTGTGACTATACAATCCCATCTCTGCTGTGGAGTATCTGGGTGATTCCAAGGTCCAGCTATGCAAAATCTGGATTTCTGCAGCTATTTAGGTACTTGGGAATCCGCAAACCAGTATGAAAACCAAAAAAGCCAAACTGACTGGCTGGCCCCACTGACTCGTGGAAGTTTCCACATTTAGTATGTTCAGCTTTCATGTTGTTCATTTTTTAACACAAACCCAAATCCAAGCCTGGATCCCTTCCAGCTGGACTTCCTTTCCTTTTCAGGTACATTAAAGGCTCTGTGATGTTGCCCATAGAACTATTATATTCCAAGTGTCAGTAATTTAAACCCATTTGGTTGACCAAATTTTGGACCAAATTTGACAGAGGCAGAGCTCTCAAATGCTGGTGTTTTGGCTAAGGAGGGCTCAGCTCCCATTGCCCAGTGAGGTTTCAGTCTATGTGCAGCCCAGGAGCACCAAACCAGCAGAACTGGTAGGAGTGTGGGAGGGTGCTGTGCTGCGTGTGTCCCACGGAGAGGGTGAGAAATGAGATGTTCCTGGGATGTCCAAACAGAGGGAGGGAGCTGGGGCAGGTACGGGGCAGGGGCGTGTAGGGGATGTGGGACGCAAGTCCGTAGGAATCCAGCTTCACTGGTTCTGCTGTGCAGGGAGCCAGCTCCCCACAAGCATAATCTGACCTTCCCTTCACAGGCAAGAGTCCTTCTCACCCCTGAGAAGTTTTCTTTTATAAGATGGAGAGGGACCTTGGACAAGGGACTGGAGAAACAGGATAAGGGTAGATTGCTTCCTGCTGCCAGAACACAGGGTTAGATGGGATACTGGGGAGAATGTGAGGCTGGTGGGGCCCTGGCACAGGTTTCCCAGAGAAGCTGTGGCTGCCCCATCCCTGGAAATGTTCAAGGCCAGGTTGGACAGGGTTTGGAGCAATTTGGGATAGTGGAAAGTGTCCCTGCCCATGGCAGGGAGGGTGGGATTAGATCTTTGGAGGTTCCTTCAACTCAAACCACCCAGTGATGATTCTATGATGGAAGAAGATTCTCCCAGCCCTGAACCTTGCACTGGTGCTGACCCTAGGATGGATGGTCACCCAAGGACACCCCAGGGCAGGGTCCTGCCATCACTCACCAGCTGAATGGCGATCATCAACACCGTCTTCAGAGTGAAGGTCCTGTCACAGAGGTCAAACAGATCTTCCAAGCTGGGACCAAGCAGCTCCAATACCATGGCATTGTACTTCCCACACGGTCCGAAGTAATACACCTGGGGGAGTCCTTCAGCTGGAAGAACAGGAAAAGAACTGGAATCAGTCCATGGGACAAAGTTAATTCCCCCTGCCCCGCGTGCACACCTTTTGTTAGGTAGTTTTATTGTCACTTCTTGAGTATTCTATCTGATGCTTATTTCCAGCAAGGAAATAAGTTCCAGCACAAACTGTGACTGAACCAAAGGCCAAACCAGTGCAGGTTCTGCTCAGCTACACCTTGGCACAGACAAATGGGATTTCAGAGCAATTAACAAATCCACCTGAAAGCATCGAACTTTGGCAGCTTAAAGGCTTGAATTTAGGGAACAAGACATGAAGTTCCCTGTGTTCCACTAAAAACCAGGCATAGGACAGCCCCAGATGTGGGCTAGCACTTGTTGGAGCACTTAGGAAGATGACAGTCCTTGGAGAAAATGAAGCATGGCCAATAAAAGGCTGCTTTGTCACCAAAATAGCACCCAGCCCTTGTTTTTCAGCACAACCTCACACAAAGTTTACACTCAGTAAAAAGGAAAAAAACCCTTTTCCTTTAAAATAGAGAAAAGTTTTAAATTTTGACCAATCACCACACAAAAATAGGTGATCATGGTCATTAGCATATATGCATACACACAGCTATCAACATTGAACTGGTAGGAGCCAGAGCCCATCTTCCCACCCAGCAGACTCTCTGTGGGAGTACAGTGTTGATACTCAGCTGGCAGGGGATTTTTGGGTGGATCAGCTTTCTGAGAGGCATCAGAAGGGAAAAAAACAGTCTTGATGTTGGAAGACTCAGAGAGCTGCATAGCACTCCTGGAATTACCTTTGAGTCAAAAAGGAAACCACAGCAGCCCATACAGGAGGAATTCAGTGCAGACCCAACTGCTCATTTTGCTAATCAGCACCTGCACCAGCGCTCGGCGTCCCAGCATCAGCACCAAGCTGGGTAACACGTTTAAATATCTATGTATTTCCAGTCTACACCTCATAAGAGCTCCAAAACAGAACAGAAAGGTTTTGTTTTGAAACATAGGGCTTTGTCTTATGTCAAAACAAAATATTTGCCTGAATGCCCAAAGATACAGCGTCCTGCTATTCAGTGTAAAGGCTGAGCACGGGGAGCTCTGCTATGTTTCTTCCCACAGAGATCCACAAATTACAGTGCACGGGACCTGAAAGCACTGTGATTACTAATTTTATGGCATGTTTTAAACAAGTGCAGGCACACACCTGGATTTGCATAAGTGATCAATGTTAGATATAGCAAAATACTTGACTAGTTAAGTGCAGAGTTTGGTGTCAGCTCTGTGAGGTGCTCAGTGAAACATTTCATGCTGGAGACCGTGTCAGCCACACAAGTGCATGTCCTACTCCAGATTTAGGGAAGCCCTGCTAATCCACCCAATTAGGAACTCTGGGCACTGGGAACTCTGCAACCTGCCAACAACATAACAAATGCAGCACTGAGGTCACTAAACTGTAAATATCACAGAACTTGTGCTTCCAAGTCCTGCTCCAAATGAACAGAATGCAGTTTGACAAAGATTACCCAAGGAGGGCTTTAATCTCATTAATTTACATGTTCAGGGAATCTGTCATCAGGATGCATTAATGGGATATTACAGAATATTGCAGGAATTCCCTGGCTAACCAGTGTTTTGTGTCCCATGTAAAACACTGACCCAAGCTGGATTTGGGAGGCTGCTGCTCCTAACAGGGCTCCATGCTTTAGGAAGCAGTAACAGTCATTAAATCCTCTAGGAACACAGGATGGTTTGATGCAGAAACAATCCAGAAAGCCAAACAATGATGGGATATGATCCAGGCAGCTCCAAGATGATTTCAAATATCCCCAAATCAACACAAATGGCAATTTAATGTCATCAGCTTAGTGCTGAAGGCTGGAATAATTGCAACAGCTCTTGAAGTGACTCACAGTGAGCCACTGGGTTTTTAGTAAAGCCTGATGAGGACTTACCTACAAAGTCACCTCTAACATCAAGATAAGCATCTCTATTTTTTAGAGAATAATAGAATAATAATAGAGAATAAGAGAGTAACAGAATGTTTTATGCAAAGTTTAAACCTGAGCCCGTTACAGGTTCTAGATACAGATAGACAATGAGTACCTCTACCACAATTTCTAGAAGTCTCAAATAATGGAACTGAGGAAGGAATTTGGCTTAGGACTCTGCTAACTAAGGTATGCAGGAGAATAAAATTGCAGAAAGGCTGTTAAAGAAGGTGAAAGAACCCATTTGCAAATCAGGGAGAACATTTAATTTACAGTCTCACTTGGTAAGGGGCAAGCATTGCAATTAAAATCAATTTCCTACTGGGCATAAGACCCAGGAAGACAGATTGCAGTAAGACCCAAAAGGTGGAGATTTCACATAGGAAAGGAAGCAACACCCCTTAGTGCACTCAGGGATCCCAGTTCCTTCAGCTTTACCTACTCAGAGCTTCTAGCCTAGAGCTTGGTGTACCCTCTTTGTCTTAAACCCTCAGGAAAGCTCTGCCTTCTGTGGGAGCTCTGACAAACTGAGGCCTTAGTGAAGAACATAAAAAAAACCATCCTAAATGTCAGAATACAGGAGACATCATTGGCTTCAGGCGTATTTTTAGGGTTCGATTTTTCCCTGAGGGTTTTCTCTGACTGCCAGCTCTGCAGTCAAGGACTTGCCTCTTGCCTTTGCCAGGATAAAGCTGCTGTAACATCTCTCTGAATTCCACAGCCAGGCTGCACTGCTGTGTCCTGGATCCAAAGGAGCATCGCTGATGAGCCCTGTGGAGCTCCCAGTCCACAATAAGGATCCTCAGCTCCACACTAGTTATGGAAATAAAGTTGGGAGGGACTTGGCATAACATCCTCAGCGCACTCAAGCTCAACTCAACGTTCACCATTTTTTTTGGGAAGAGGAAAAACTCGAAAGATGAACTTGATGTACACATTAAAAGGTGTGTTGGCAGATAAAACTGGATGAAACTTGAGATACAGGCAGCTCCAGAGCCATTCTGAACAGTAAAAAGGGTCAGCCTAAGAAAATCTGCATAAAATTTGATTTTGTCACAGTCCATCTACATAATTTATGACGTAGCTTGGCTCTATTTCAGCAAAAAGCATTGTGTCCTGGTGCTGAGTCCATTGTCACAGGACTCACAGTGAACCACAGGAACTCATAAATATCACCAGCAGATCTGTAAATACTTAAGAAGGATGTTGCCAACTAAAGAGATTGATGGAAGAAAAAGGACTTTCTTGCCTGGGCAGTTGGAGTTGAGGTTTTTAATGGAAAGTAATTGCATTGGGAGAGGGCTGGAAAGGTCACACAAAGCCATGGTGTCCTGCTGTAGGTGAGCAGCTCTGAATTCAGAGACTGTGGGATGAAAAGCCACCAGCAGAGCAGAGTCTCATACTGAGGATTCAAAGGTACAACTCAACACTTGAAGTACAAACCATGATCTGTTTAATGCAATTAATGCATGAAATCACATCAGAACCAGGAATTTCTCCATGGTATCAAACAAGAGCAATACACAAAGGGAAAAAAATATAGGCATTATATGTGCAGGTTCTTCTTTGCAGGAAAACCAGTTTATTACAGCAGAGACTGCTGCAAGCAGAAATCATCTCAATTTGCTTAACGGCTTTGGTCTCGCTGCTGAGTGATTTGGCTCAGCCACATGGAAAAGGGCCCACTCCACCCTCACTCTCACAGGAAGTTTATCACCCCAATAAACACAGACTGATTGCTGCACCGGAATCCACAGGCAAATTCTGCTATTTCAGCAGAGTGATGTCTTGGAAGAAATTCAAGCTGAGCACAGCGAAAACCTAGCAAAGCATTTTGTAGATTAAAGCATCACTGCTGGAATGAGAGCAAATGCAGACATCAAAGCCAAAAACTCAAGACTTTGATTCCCCCACACTCCCCAGACTGGCCTTGGCTTTCTGGGGATGCTAAACTCTCACTGCTCCTGTGCTGCCACCAAAAGGGACTTTCCCATCCTTCCTCATGCTCTGTGGCTGGACCAACCCAAAAACCACTTGGCTTGAGCTTGAACGTAAGAATGGGAACAGTAACAAAGAACAGGATCACTGCTCTTCCAGAGAGCTTCATCCAAGCTGGAGCAGCACCTTTCAGAAACTTCCATCACCAGATCAAGCACCCTGGATGATTCCAGTAATGTTATCTTGCTGCCATAGGTTTTACAGCATGACTAATGCCCACAAAACTCCTCAGACATCCAACATACTCAAAAAAACCACATTAGTTCAGGCACACAGACATTCCAAAGCCATTTCCAGGACTGGTTATGAACCAATGATGGGTAGAGATGCCAATCTAAGGTTATGCCCGAGGGAAATCAGAGTTTGCAGCACCTGCCCTGCATGGAGAGCAGAGGAAGCAGAACCCACCTGCTCCAGAAAAGCACCTGGCCTGAGGCTCTGTGTAAGCATCACGAGAGACTATGAATAAACTTCATCAACAGCAAGTAAAATACAGCCAAGGAGGAACGAGGGAGCAAGTGCAGGAAGCTGCATGTGGCATCTACGTCAATGGAAGGACAAGTGCAACATCCCATACAGCAAATCACCAGGAAGCACCCAGAGCTTGTGATCAATATTAGTAATTTCTGAACCACCCGTGGTTTTTGCTCCCATGGGGAGTTGCTTTCCACTGCCCTTTGATGAGGTGTAACCAAATAGAGAAGCTGATGTCTTCAATATCAAGAATTCAAGAAGAATCCAGACCCTCTCCTCATGCAGATTTTGACACTGAGCTCTATTGCAGAGGGGAGACACTCCTGAAGAGCCCCAAATTCCACACCCAGAGGGGGAAGGAATCCAAGGCCCAGCAAAAAGCTGATGCTTGACGCAAACCCAGGCTCTGTGTGGGCAGCAAGAACTCTTTCTCACTGAAAGAGATGCAGACACACACCAGAAGCATCAGTGCACAGAAAGTTCTGTGTGGTTTTAAAGAGGCTCTGATGAATGGGCCGTAGATTGTCACAAATTCTCATTCAGAG